TAAAATATATCACGGATTTTGAAGTCACCAAGTGACGCTGGCTGCTAGTCATTAATAACAAGAATATACAGCTCAAGGCAAAGCTATGGTATGAAGCGGGTAAAGTTTGGATTTAATAATAAAGTGAGTTATCATAAGACACAGGTGCCCTTGGCATAAGGAGGGTAATATGGCTCTGAGAAGAGGGGAGAGAGATGGGAAGATCCATATTGAATCACTCTGAGGGTAACTTTACAAGGGTTTATTTAAATGCTGCAAGTACACAAACCTAAACAAAAATGTTGTAAATGATTTAATACCGCATTAATGTAAAAGAGCGTGTTGTTCTGTACAAACAACTTATTTGTTTTAAACTACAAAGATACTTTGTACAAATATGATGGTAAACTAGGTTACTCGTTTGCTACAAAATGTATATAGGCTAATTATAACTGTTGTAACGTTCGAAACTTTATATGTAGAAGGCTGCGGGTGACGTTCAATAAACGGAATTATTTATATGTTTTACGATTTCGAAATGTTATTTAATTTTTCATTTGACTATCAATTAAATTAATGCTACTATCTCTACTATCTAAAAAAAGTCAACGATAGGTGGTAGGTTAATACGACCAGGTAGATGTCATTTAGCGAGCCGAAGCCAAAATGATCAATACCAGGACCGCAAATTTCTTTTTTTACTGTTCCCTTATAAAAAAAATCCAAATGACGTTAGTACATGCAAAATAATAACAGTATGACGCAATTAATTGAAGATTTGAAATATGATTGAATGCCTAATCACATTGCAAAATATAATAAAATGAGAAATACAATTCTCTTTTTCTAAACAAACTCATAGTGGGTCCCGTTAAAAAAAAAACTAACCATAAACTAAACGGAAATAATAAAATGTTTTGATTTATTTTATTAGAGTAACTAGCTGGCCCGACAGACGTCGTCCTGTCCTAATGTGGTTTTGTGTCAAATGCTTGTTCATTTTCAAGATCCTGGTTGAAATTCGTTCGCTACGCTCACTCACCTTTAGGTTGGAGCTAGTTCGCTGCGCTCACTTGCCTTCAGGTTGGAGCTAGTTCGCTGCGCTCATTTGCCTTCAGGATAGCTCGTACGCTACGCTAACTCGCCTCCAGGTTGAAGTTCGTTCGCTTCGCTCACTCACCTTTTTGTTGCAAATTAGCTGTTGTCATAAATTAAAAAAATAATCGTGCTGCACCCTGTTGGTGAACTTATTAACTTTTTAATGCTATTGAACATCACAGAATCAAATTGCTTAGTTGTTCCAGCTGTTAAGACTCTTTAATGCCATTTAAATATGAGTACTCATAAGGTTAACATGGGAAACTCCAGAGCCACTGGGGTGGAGCCCTTTTGATGGATCTGCACCAAACTTCACACAAACCATCCTTTGAATAATGCTTAATAATGCCTGAAAGTTGCATTACAATCTGTCGGGCGGTTTCGGAGTCCATAAAGGACAAACAAACAAACATACATACATACAAACAAACATACATTGGATTTTATATTTAAAGGCTAACTGCTAAGTAAGGACAACATTGCAAATAGTGTGATGGGAGTAAAGTGAATACAAAACATAACAACAGCTGATCCACAGAACAAAACAGATGTGATTTGCGGTCCTGGTATTGATCATTTTGGCTTCGGTTCGCTAAACGACATTTTTCGTTCATCAAATGGTCCGATTGCAGGTGATAAGATCCTGGTATGGGTAAAAATAGTCTGTACCATACTATCCTAGATGACATTTTCTACTCCAGTAGGTAGTCAAATAATTAAAATATGCAAGCTCACTAAACTACCTACATTAAATTTTACACATCATATCATATCAATTAAATTAGGCCTATAAAAGCTTCCATATCGAAATATTCTACAACCTTCAGCTACCCCATTACCAAATCTATTCCTGGACCTAAACATACAGTGTCAATGTTTAATCGAATCAACAAACTAAATTGAAACCGTCAACATAAACTCAGCGCCGAAATTCGCAAAATCTGAACGCAAACATAGATTCTCACGAACTTTGACCTGTCACCACCGCCTTATCAGCTGGAGATCCTAGCTGCACACTCATCAGCTGATAAGACAGACGTGCTACAAACAAGGTTGTGTTACGTTCCGAGAAAGGGAGTTCGCAGAACTTCAAAGAGTCTTTGTTTGGGTTAGAATGTTTGGGTTGCAAACTGATTATACTTGGAGTTTGGTTTGACATGTCTATTATCTACGATAGTTCTGTAAATTCACATTTGGAATAATTACTCACGCTTGATGTTTGCTCAAAGTCTTCAATATGAATACATTCGGATTTTAGGACACTTATTTTGTATAATTTCTACTTTGTAGCCTATTGCAAGCCAAAATAGAAATTTGATAGAAAGGATTTATTCATGCATGGTCCTGCAAAGTAATATCAATCAATAAGTAGGCTAATTGGTTCTAATTTGTGGGTATCTGCCAAGGCTAACAAAAAGTGTTTAACATCTAAAATGGGTAGAATTGAAGCTCTTACCTTCAAACTGACTTTGGCTGATCCATAACGGATTGTGAATCTATGAGAGTATAATAAATAACAACCATATATGGCATTACAGCATTACTTTGTGTTAAAATGTGCTTTATTTCTTCACGAGAAAGTAACCATTTCAATAACAGTTGATATCAAAAGTAGTTTTTCCCAAACTTTAATTTAGAGCAAGGGTAAACCATCAGTTAACTTTTTCCTCGCTCTAAATTTGCCTTTCCTTGCTCTCAATCAGTTATCCATTTGCCCACTGCTAGAGTGTTTGTTTGTGGTTTGTTTACAATTAATTTATATTGTTGAAATGAAATCAGCTGTTTTACTGTTTAACAATAAAAATGTAAATAGAAATCTGAAATGGGCATAAGCTAGTTATGGCTCTTGTCTTAGCTTATAGTGGAGTTACTGCACGAAAACATAACCTTGAACATCTTATTGTACATTGTTATTTAGGTTTGCTTAACCGTTTTGATTATTTTTATAATTATGTTAAATAGGTAAAATAATAGTTTTAATTTTACTGAGGTCTGTTATTCTGTATGTTAGTTTGTTTGTGCTGTGATGAAAAGTATCGTGCACAAATTGTACCAATTTAACGGAACTTGCTAAAATTATTCCCATCCTCATACGTTTAAATTTAGTAGTGAAACTTGCGCACACAGTAAAATGCCACAATACTATTTCGAACACTTAACTAAACATTTTTCCATATTTACTGTAAATAAACTCAAATGGAAACTAAAAACAAATTGAAGATTCAAACACAGTAGCAGCAAGTTGGATTCTACATATATTCAAACAACAAACATGACATAACCTCAGACAAGGCAGATTCTGTTATCTCTACAGATTTACACCTGGCTCTCCTTGAGATAACAAATGACCTTGACAGGTTGACAACCTGACAGCTTATTGTCATAAGTCTGTGTAAACATTTACTTTCAGAACTCTTTTTGAGACGCAGTTCTGTGCAAGGCGAGATGAAAACTACGAGATGGCAGAAATAAAAGTAATAACGCATAAGATATAAGGAAGCTGTAAATTAATTATTTAGTTAACTAATTATTCATTTTTTTAACAGGTCTTTTCAAGAAGAGGGCCAAACTATTGAAATTTTCCCAATACAAAATGAAGGACATGAGATGTAACCTAACTACCTAATGTAACCTAGCCTAATCTATCTTCTTCATTTTCTCGAGGTCAACTTTTGGCTTCATTTACTAACCATAGTAAACTTTAATCAAAATACTAAACCTGTTCTGAATTGTAATGTTCATAATAATTTAAAATCTTGTTTTATTCTTCAACATTAAGTTTTGAAATTAAATTAACAATAAACTAAGTATTCACCTTTCTTATTTCCATGTGCTGTATGAAATATTAAATTCCATGAGATTGATAAGTAAAAATGGTGAGAAAAAAGTGTTCACAATCAGTAGGAACATTGAACCCTCAGGTTATGGTAGGCCTGGCAGCAATGATGTCATTCCAAGGTCAAGTTCATTATCAGCTGATATAACTAACAAACATCTCCAGCTGCATAATGGTGTGCCAAATGACTGCTAATATTTGCCACTTTTCACAGAAGTTTTCTTGCATCTGGCAAGATGGGAAAGAAGAGAGGCTATGTTTATGACAAAATAAAATGGTGATAACAGTGAGTTATATCAATAGGCCTTGTTTGGTTTTAGTTTAATATATTTGAATTTTCAACTAGTACCAGGATTTCCAAAGATAGCTTATCTTATCTGACCTACTTTTCCAGTCTGCACTGTCCACTCTTGCATTAGTTAACCCAGAGTCAACATGTGCTCCTTGCTCATTTTCTTGTAGATTCAATTTTGACTGTTTTAAAGTAAACTAATAACGTTTACCATGTAATTATTAAAGTATGTGTTTTATAATATCGCCCCCTTCTAAATGTCAGAGAGTGCCTTTTAATTTGTAAAAATACCAAAGTGTTGTGACGGGAAGACCTCTAAATGATTTTGTGACCTTCTACCTTCTACGGATTCTACGGCTACGCAGAATCCCCTCATCTACCCGCTCCTGGAGAAGATTCACCCATTCAAAGACTGTCCACCCCTGGTGAACTTCGCTCCCCGCTTCAGTCTACCGTCAGGCATCTCTACCAAACCCAAGGACTCAAATCTCAAGTAACTGTTTACATACTCATTTAATTAATTGGTATTACTCTGACATGTTCCCATATTTAAAATATATTTTGTAAATTAAAGTTTGAATTTCTCTTTCGCTACTCAGTAAAATTTTCTCATTCTCTCCTTTGAACCCGCCCCCAACAAAATGGTCCTTCGAGCCGGATTCTGAATTTCTAGTAATTTATAATGTTAGACCAAAGAAGAGAATTTATTTAAGTAAAAGTTTTACAGTATTTAGGTTTTTTTATGTAGCATTCCTATCTTAAACCTTAGCCCTTTTATTTCCTTCACCAGCTAAAATGGCAGCTTTAAAGAAAGCCGAAATCGACTCTCTAGTCAAAAAGCGAGAAAAGTATTATGCAAGGTTACAAGCTCTCTATGACGTTGGTAAAAAGTGTATCCAGCTTGCTCAGCAAAAACAATCTTTTAATACAGAGTTTGATTCTTTTGTATCACGTTATCAAAGATTAGAGGATGATTATTCTGTGTTTGAACAAACAAGTGACAGTATTAGTTTTTTAAACTCTCAAGTAGATGAAGGAGATAGAGTAGAGGTTCATAGTGCATCAATGTCCTATGATGATTTGTATTTTAATGTTAAAACCATTGGGCGAAAGTTGAATGTAGATAAGCATTTGCAGCAAACAAAGACTGACTTATCTGCTGATAAGCAATCTCCTGTCCATAGTCCCCAGGTAGCTCGCCTTCCTAAATTGGAAATTGAACCATTTGATGGAACCTTATCAGCTTGGCCTAATTTTTATGCTTTATTCACTTCTATGATTCATAAAAATCAATCCTTATCTAAGAGTGAAAAACTCACTTATCTAGCAGTCTATTGAAATCACATGCGCTTTCACTCATTGAAACCTTGGTAATATGTGATGAGAATTATGATATTGCAATGAGAACTCTCACTGATCGTTATCAAAATAAACGTCTCTTAGCATCAAACTATCTCGATAAGATTTTATCCTTCCGCCCTCTCACTGAAGATTCTACTGTTACCTTATCAAACTTTTTGGAAATTTTTAGCGCAAATCTGTGCGCCCTAAAGGCTCTTGGATTGTCAAATTTATTTGATTTTACAATGTTACACATTGGTTTACGTTCACTAACGTCGTCATCCCGCAAAGAATTTGAAAATGAATATTCTGATAAAGATCTACCAGAATTTGAGGATCTAATTTTGTTTGTACAGCAACAACTCAAAATCCTAGAAATTACTACATCCAAGGGAAAGCTAAAGCAAAATAGACTTAATACATCTCCTAAGCCAAGTAGTTCTAAAAGTTTCATGCTGTCAACTGTTGATGAAAAAGGTTTAACTGGAACTGCAAAGCGCCACGTATGTCCCTGTTGCCAAGAACCCAACCATAAGATCTATGTGTGTTCTAAGTTTAAGAAACTAAGTTTATCTGACAGAAATGATTTTGTTAAAAAGCATTTCTTGTGCTTTTCTTGTCTTGGTTTTCACACAATATCCGAGTGTAAATCAACCTCCAAATGTTTTAAATGCAATGGCAAGCATCACACCCTTTTGCATCATCCAGCTACTAATGCAACTGCAGGCCCCTATCTCTCAAGAGAAAAGAGCTTAGAAACCAAACCCAATGACATGAAAGAAATACATAATCCTTCCTCATCCAAAACTTGTAATTTTGCTGATGCAAATTCCGCCTCAAACATGATGTTAAGCACAGCCATTATCGGCATAAGGGATAAAAATAACAAACTGTGTCCAGTCAGAGCCATTATTGATGGTGGTTCCCAAACTAGCTTAATTACTCAAGAATGTGTTCTCAAGTTAGGTCTCACTATAAACATCAAAATAAAATAACCATCAAAGGTATTGCAGACACACAGGTCCCAGTGAACAAAGGTTCAGTAACATGTAACATAAGCCCTCTTAAGAACTCTAATATTTCTTTGAGTAGGCCTACTGAAGCAGTTGTAGTCCCAAAGATATCATCCGATCAGCCAAACATTGATATTGACCCTACAATCATCTCAAGATTTGATAATCTACAGCTCGCTGACCCCACGTTCTATGAAAGCTCGCCTGTTGAATTTCTAATAGGAGCAGATTTGTATTTCGATATAATAAAAGAGTCGCATAATATCATAAAAGGTGAACCCTCTGCAATGAACACTATTTTTGGATGGATAGTTGGTGGTAGAGTGGCCACTTCCTCCTGTCAAAGTGAATGTTCTTATTTTTTAAACTGTTGTGAATCAGTTGATAAGACTCTCAAAAGGTTCTGGGAGGTAGAAGCTGTTCAAAATGTGAAGTATCCTAGTCCAGATGATATTGCAGTTGAATCACATTTCACAGAAACACATATCAGAGATAAAACAGGCCGCTATGTCGTATCGTTACCAATGAAACCTGATGCACCCAACCTACCGAACACAAGAGATAAGGCAGAGAAACGACTTATCAGCCTAGAGAACAGATTAAAAAGCAAACCAGAAACCTATCTGGAGTATAGAGAGTTTATGGATGATTACCTAGCTCAAGGTCATATGAGTATCACCAGCAACCCCTCACCTTATATAATTCCCCACCATTGTGTAAAAAATGAGAACAGTAGTACATCAAAGTTGAGAACAGTGTTTAATGCGTCTTTTAAGCCCTATGCAAATTCCTCTTCCCTCAATGATATCCTGTATAGTGGACCAAAGCTGCAAAGAGACATAGGAGAGATAATAACTAATTTTCGCCTACATGAAATTGTTGTGTGTGCCGATATAAAACAAATGTATAGGCAAATCGTTGTGAATCCCACAGACCGAGCATTTCAGCACATATTCTACCGCACAAATCCCAATGGAGATATAGATGAGTACGAGCTGAACGTATTGACATATGGTGTAACATCTAGTGCTTATTTGGCACAAAGAGTATTACTGCAACTGGTTGAAGATGAAGGCAAAAGATACCCACTCGCCTCTCAAGCTATCACTCATCAAACGTTTGTGGATGATATTTGTACCAGTGTTGATTCTCCTCAAGAAGCACTTCAGTTACAGCAGGAACTAATTACACTTCTGGGATTGGGAGGATTCACCCTAAGAAAATGGGCCAGTAATTGCCACCAAATATTAGACAGCGTCCCGCTTGATTGTAGAGAAAATCCCCTCGCCCTACGCTCCGAAGACGACTCTGCTGTTAAAGTACTTGGATTACAGTTTGATCCCGCTGAAGATGTATTTTTCTATGTAATTAAACTGAACCCTGTAGTTTGTACCAAGCGCTCAATGCTTTCTGAGATTGCTAAAATTTATGATATTTTAGGATGGATAACACCCACTACGTTTTATGCCAAACATATCATGCAGAGCACATGGTTATGTGGACTAGAGTGGGATGACCCCCTACCAGATGAACTTCGCAGTAAATGGACAACATTTATTTCAACCCTTTCAAGTCTTTCAACCCTAAAGATACCTAGATTCATCCCTACAACTCCTCACAGCACAAATCAGATAATAGGATTCTGTGACGCATCTGAAAAGGGCTACGCAGCAAATATCTATATACGAACTGAAACCTCGGAAAACATATCAGTACATCTTATCAAAGCGAAAAGTAAAGTTGCCCCACTCAAAACAATGAGCATTCCTAGATTAGAACTTTCTGCTGCTCAACTACTAACAGAAGTTGTATTATCTAGTACGCATCTAACCCAGACTGTTGACCCCCAGAATATCATATTGTTTTCTGACTCAGCCGTTGTTCTTATGTGGTTAAAAACTCCTCCTTACAAGTTAAAAACATTTGTCGCAAACAGGGTTGTAAATATACTTGAGTCAACTAATCCAAAACAGTGGCACCATGTAACATCTAAAGAAAATCCTTGCGATTGCGCATCCCGCGGCTTGACACCTGAAGAGCTTGTAAATTTTGACTTGTGGTGGAAAGGACCTCAATTTCTGTACACTCCCTTTGATTCGTGGTCATTACACCGTTCATCTGAAGAAGAAGTAGAGAAGTTGCCAGAGATTAGAAAAGAATGTTTATCTACAACAGTTGATAACCAAAACAGCATTGTATTAGAAATGCTTGAAAAATATTCTAGCCTGAGTAAAGCTAAATTTGTAATTTCTTATGTATTAAGGTTCATCAATAACGTCAAAAGTAACGCCAAAGGTATAGCTAAGAAACAAGGACCAATATCACCTCAGGAATTGGAACACACATTATCTCTCTGTGTAAAGACTACACAACAACGCTATCTCTCAAAAGATATTTCTGATATGAAAAATAATAAACCATGCTCTAAGAGATATCGCTCTTTGGCTTTATTCATTGATGAAAATGATTTCGTCAGGGTGGGCGGTCGTTTGAAAAATGCTAACTTAACTTACTCCAGGAAACACCCCTTTCTGATACCCCGTTCATCACGCCTTGCGACACTCATTTGTGATTATTATCACTCATTAGCTTTACACTCAGGACCCCGCTTGACACAGTCTCTCATTCAAGAAAAGTTTTGGATTGTAGGAGTACGGCAGTTATTGAGGGAGCGTATATTTAAATGCCAAAGATGCTATATGTTCCAAGCAAAACCTTTAATGCCTAAAATGGCGGATCTACCATCACTCAGATTTGAAAGCACACGTGCGTTTCTAAATGTTGGACTAGACTACGCTGGACCGTTTGAATTTAAAGAAAGTAATAGAAGAAAATCCCCCCGCCAAAAGGGATATATTGTAATTTTTGTTTGTTTTTCGACAAAAGCTGTACACATTGAGTTTGCAACGAGTTTATCAACACCTTCATTCCTTGCTGCATTGGATCGTTTTGTTGCCAGAAGAGGTCTCTGCCAATCAATAACAAGTGACTGCGGAACCAATTTCCAAGGAGCCGCAAACTATTTTTCTCAAATTCAGAAATTTCTAAAAGACAACAATCAAGACATAGCACATCACCTAGCTTCAAAAGAAATTAAATGGAATTTCATCCCGCCGGCAGCACCCCATTTTGGAGGCCTTTGGGAGGCTGCAGTCAAATCAGCAAAACGTCACCTCATCCGAGCTATCGGTACCCTGATATTAACATATGAAGAAATGTACACCTTACTGACAAGAATTGAAGCCATTCTGAATAGTCGCCCAATAGGAGCAATGACCACTGACCCAAATGATGGAGACTACCTAAGCCCTGGACACTTCATTGTAGGAACGCCGTTGTTATCACCACCTGAAGAGGACTTCACGGAAACTAAGATGAATCGTTTGGAAAGATATCAACTCCTACAACAAGCTGCACAATCGTTTTGGAAGCAATGGTCTCAAGACTACCTACAAACATTGATACCCAGGAATAAATGGACTACATCACAGCCAAATCTTCAAGTCGGAGATGTTATATACCTTCAAAACAAGGACAGCAGCCCTCTGGAATGGCCTATTGGAAGAGTGATTGAGACATACCCCGGACCAGATGCTACAGTTAGAGCCGCAAAGGTTAAGACACCTCACGGAAAATATGTGAGACCTATCCATAAGCTGGTACCCTTACCTCCTTCCGATACCCATTCCTAGCTTAACGTTTGAATATTAGGTTTTTACGATCAATTTTTATTGTGTGATTTGCCTCTTAGTGTATGATTTTGTAAATATGCATTTAGGTGGGCGGTATGTTTGGTTTTAGTTTAATATATTTGAATTTTCAACTAGTACCAGGATTTCCAAAGATAGCTTATCTTATCTGACCTACTTTTCCAGTCTGCACTGTCCACTCTTGCATTAGTTAACCCAGAGTCAACATGTACTCCTTGCTCATTTTCTTGTAGATTCAATTTTGACTGTTTTAAAGTAAACTAATAACGTTTACCATGTAATTATTAAAGTATGTGTTTTATAATATCGCCCCCTTCTAAATGTCAGAGAGTGCCTTTTAATTTGTAAAAATACCAAAGTGTTGTGACGGGAAGACCTCTAAATGATTTTGTGACCTTCTACCTTCTACGGATTCTACGGCTACGCAGAATCCCCTCATCTACCCGCTCCTGGAGAAGATTCACCCATTCAAAGACTGTCCACCCCTGGTGAACTTCGCTCCCCGCTTCAGTCTACCGTCAGGCATCTCTACCAAACCCAAGGACTCAAATCTCAAGTAACTGTTTACATACTCATTTAATTAATTGGTATTACTCTGACATGTTCCCATATTTAAAATATATTTTGTAAATTAAAGTTTGAATTTCTCTTTCGCTACTCAGTAAAATTTTCTCATTCTCTCCTTTGAACCCGCCCCCAACAGGCCTAATTTTTTTTTTACTACTGTACTATTCAGTCATCTGCGTTTTTTATAATTTTGGGATTTTCTAGCTTTGGCTAGGTTAGTGTGTACTTTCTCACCACTGGGAATGAAATCAGATTCAATCCTGAAAACTCAGTTTTTCAAACAATCGTGATTAAAAAGGTATGTGATAATCTCTTAGGATATTAAAATGTTTTGTTATTTTAAAGGCACCCCAATGTTTATCAAATTTTTCACCTTTAATGTCCCTCATTAAAAGGTTTTTTTTTAAATATATTTTTTTACCTATTTACTCTCCGATTATAACATTAATCATGTGGGAAAAGCATACTGGTAGCTTTTTCCTATAAGAAGGCTACAGAACTTAGCAACTAAGTTGTATCTCAATAAACTGAATAAACTATCCAGTTATAATTATTTTATGCAAATGGTTAATTAAATGTGGTAGAATATGTTTTGGTGTCAAAATCTGAAATAGTGATATAACCCAAAATAATACAATCACAACATGATGAAAATTTCATTTAATAATCGATACACAGAAACCAGAACTTGTAATGATAAAAAATATATTACGAGACACTGAAACAACAATTACTATCTCACAAGATCTTTAATGAAAAAATTCTTCTATAAGTAACCTACAAAAGCACACTAGGTATATAAATATTCTATACAAAAGCAATTTACTAATAAAACTGTTACTTTAATACATTTCTCCTACTATAAATTACGTACTTAATATTAACAAATACCTTTACTGAATATCTTACTATAAATAATATAATCCGTTTAAATTTATATATTGTTAGAACACACACTTCTTTATTTTACATTAAGTAGGTTTAATTTATGTACAGAAAGTGAGTTAAAGCTATTTATAGAAATGCAGAAGGGTAGCTTGAAAAGTATACAAATGAGAGGGTAATAATTACATTAGCTAGGTTGTAATCTCAATTCATTCAAAACTGTTTATAATTCTTCATTATTTTCTGCTGACTTCAATTGTCCCTAACTAACTGTACTTACTACTCGAGATAGTAAAATTAGCTAATATTGAAATAAAAAGATTTAAGAGTAATATTTACATTTTTATTTTCATTGAAGAACCACTATACATGTACAAAATAACAATAAATTCAATCAGGGTCTGCACTCAAACTTGAACTAGAAAAAGTTTATTAATAATTTGCTGAAATTTAAAAAGTTAAATGAAATATTTATTTGCAAATGATAATGCAACACATTTAGAATTAAACTGAATATTTAGGAGTAGGGATTCTATTCTCTACTTTTTCCATCCTTCTTTTATTCCAAAGCACTGAGATATTCAAGCCTGCTATGAAAGAAAACAAGTAGAACACCAATGAAAATTGCAGTGGTTTTTTTTCAGTTTGCAAGTCAGGATGTTGAATATCCAACAGAAGAAATCTCCAATCCCATTTTATGGGATTTAATTAATTTTGGCTTTTTCGAGGCGGGAATCGAGAGATTGCAAAAGCTGTATCATAAGTTTAGGTAAGTAAAAAATTCTGATGCCATCGCCATTGTGGGGCCAGGTTATCATTAATTACATCGTGTCACGGTGGTCAAGTTAAATTATTTCACTGTGAATCTGAAGTCACAAAGACGATACTGTCGGTGTAAAAAATTATGGATGATCAAGGATCCCCCATCCTCAATTTAAGGTTTACCCTACCACAAAACTCTTGGCTTATTCCGTTTTGTTTTAGGCTACAGCCGAAAAACCTCATGGATCATTCAAGGTTTTACAATTTTCATGTTTGAGTGGAGACCCTGACAAGTACTGAGCGAATTAACTACATCTTTGGATAATATTCTTGGATATTACATGTCAATTTAAACTAAAAAAGAATGAAAAACAAATTGATAAATAAAACAAGAAACCATTTGAGAGGTACAACAATTAAAAAGTACTGAGTACTTGAACAAATACACTTTATAATACATTTTTTTTATGTACAGGATAATTGAGAAGAACTTTATAGATTTTTAATCTTTTTTTTAAGGGATTGAACAAAAATACCTTGAATGTAAATGTTTGTAAAAAATAAATAAGTAACCAATAGTGAGAAATATCAATATTTTTATTGTTGTTGCAAATCTTCAGGAATCTTTAAAATTAATACACTTTGCTTTACTTTTCTTGCTTTTTTAAATTTTCAAATTCATTAAATGAAGACTTAACTAACAATAGACCGAAAATAAAATGAATTGTCTACTCATGATTTCCTTTAACATTCATATGTAAATAAGAAGCAAACCTAGCGATTATATTACATTAAATAAACATTTTCATTTTATGTTTTTAAGTTCATAATAGTCTAACTGTAATGCCCATCCTTCATATAAACATGTTTAGTTTTTCAACAATCAGAAATTATATTTATTTATTTATTGTTTACAACAATTAATTAACAAAAGAATTTTAAGGATTCAACAAATTTTAAAAACAATAATCACTTTCAAAACCACAAGACAATTCTAAACTGTTTAAACAAGCATCAGACAAAATATAGAATCCAAAACCATTCACAATCTTTAAACGTTATAGACATATGAAAAGTATATAAATATATCATTTATAATATTACAAAACAGTATATACATGCAATATGTACAACGAAACACTACAGCACCTAAGGGCAGTTTGTACGTTTCTTGTTACAACTACTAAAGTATTTCCTTGAACCAAAAGAAACAGGAACACAAAAATTTAATATCACAATAGAAATGAACAACATTATTACACAAAGCGCTCAAATAAACTTGTTTGAAAGTTATGCTTAATCAAAACGTAAGAAGCATTTTAATTGGTCAAAACGTCCACTTAAATCAGAAATTTGCTGGAGAACTTCGGCACACAGTGCTTTGAAGCTTAACCTCATCACATCAATCCTGAAACAAAACAAAAGATTTCATACATGATGTAGATTTATTTTTGCCTATAAAATGCATTGTATTGTAATAGCTTGTCTCGAGTTAAGATGGCTACCTTATCAGTTAACGAGTGGGCCGGATTGTTCGACTAAATCCTTTTAGTCATGCCGCAATGAATACTTTAGGATGGAAAAGTACCTAATAAATAATTTTAAAATTCTATTTTTACCTAAGATCATGGTAATCTAAGCTATCATGAAACAAAAAATTGAGTTTGTCCCATGGTAATCGGCCAACTTAAAATGTTGAATATTCAAAAAAGTGCTGTAAGTTTCAACACTTAAACGTGTATTTGTACAACAAGGTTTTGAGTGTTTCTGTTTAGCTCAGTCATTGCTGTAAAAGACAAAGCAAGGCTCTGCTTAGTTTCATGTACAGATTTGTTCATATCGAGGTTATATAAGGCCGTCTGCCATTTGCTGCTGTCTCATTGGTCAGTTTTCAAACAGTAAATTCAGTGCTTAACTCCATTTAGGGGTTTTTCGATAATGTTTGCAAAAACATAAATTCAAAAATGATAATTAATTGATGAGTGTGAAATTTTGTTAAAACGATGTGAAGTTAATTTAATTCTTAATAAGATCAATGCAAGATGTTGATTTATTTGTTTTCCCTTGTAAGAATAATTAAAGATAAATTGTGCCTATTTATGAGACTTAATCTCAAAACCTCTGTCTAATATGGACAAGAATTTTGCAGGGTTAAAGAAACGAAGAGTTATTGGGAAGGATAAACAATTTTAAGCTTAAGACAAAAAAAGACATACTAATGCAGTACAGTAGAACCTCGCTAATTCAAACCTCGATAATTCGAAAACCTCTATATTTGGTAATGTTTGTCTGTTCCCCCCAGAAAACATATAAAATTCGGAAAATAATATACCCATAATTTGAAGTGATTTTTATGCTTAATGCAGCCTAACCAATTCAAATTTTAATATACTGGAGCCTCTACAATTAGAATTTCGTTGCCGTAATTCGAACTGTTACCTCCAAAATTCAAAGTCAACCTCTACAATTCAAACTGTGTTACCGTAAAGCCTCTGTAATTCAAATTCAGGACAAAAAATATGCCTGTTGAAACATGACCTGACGCTCCTATTGATATCTCTGTTCTCTCAAACTCTCTACACTTAAAACTAGGACCTTCATAATTAAATTTTTTTTTTAATTCTGACCTCGATAATTCAAACTCTCTATATTTCAAACTTCCTATAATTCAAAATACATTGCCTTTCCTCTGAAATTTCAATTAGCGAGGTTCTACTTTTCTACACAACATAGTTAAATTGAAGAACATACATTTGAAGTTGAAGAAGAAATATAACTTAATTTTTCCCTCAAATAATTCACGTTATGGTACTGACTGAAAAACTAACTGGCAAGGGCTTTAGGCCCCAGGTGCGTAATTGACTTCTCCCTGTTTAAATGTTTCCTAATAGGTAAAAATGGCAAAGCCAATACAGTACATTGAGTTAGAACTACCAGGTTCCATAGTTTGGCATCAGGGCAAATAACACAGATACAGGGTTCTATGCAACTTCTACAAAAATCTGTAATGAGTTCGCCAAGAAATCTGGGCTGTCAGATTGGGTGCTGACTTTGCGGGACTTTGTTTGGATTTCCAAGTGTATAAACTATCAAGTGACAATGATGATCACGAGGATTATGCTACAAACCTCATCTGGATGACAGTGTCGTACGTCTAGGGTCTGGAGCCTCTGGCTGCCTCTTCTAAAGCTCTCACCTTCAGCTCTCTCTCCCTTTGTTGTCTGGAATACAAACCATCATTACTTGTCATATACTTGGGAAGCTGACAAATAGCACCATCTGCTAAGGTGCTTTTCCCCTACATATATCCTCAAACAGGTACCCTAAAATATCATAAACAAAAATTGAACAATTAAAAAAAAACTGATAACTAAAATTACTGTACAAACTCTAATTTTCTGAGTCAATTAGGACCATACCACATTCGGATAATCAGAAGTTTGGATACATAGGCCTAATTGGATTTGTGCTGATATTGGGGGTATTTTATAAAAATTTGGCGAAGTCGAGCCGAGATCATGATTAAAAAATCACGATTGGGAAGGACCACGACAATATCTATTGAACCTGGGGACAGCTTCAGGATTTTTTATGATCAAAGCTTTTGCTCTATTTAATAAATATTCTTATTACTGTGGTATAAGATTTTCAAATTTCTTTCTGTAAGTGATTTCGAATGGTTGGCGTTTGACTGTGGTCAAATGCAAAATTCAGACACACCAAGAAAATTATAAATATTATTATCTTTAATGTTCACAGTACCTTAGGCTTTGCTAAAAAAAAAAAAAAAACGGTACGACTAAAACTCTACTTTGAGGTAGGATTGCTCGCCAATACCAACAGAAAATATATTTTCACAACACGATCTGTATATTTAAAAGAAAAAAAATTCTCATAAGAACAAGATCTAACTTATAAGGTATTACAATAGTTAAAAATAATCAGAAAACACAAGATTAATAAAGCATTAGACACACAGATCAGAATAACCATAAAATAAAAACACTCTCAAACTTGGGTGAAACCAATAAGTAAGACTTAGGTCGGTTTTATGCGCCGCGACTTGCGACTGTCTAGTCAAGTTCTATTGAGTTAAATGGGAGCATTTATGCACCACGACAGCAACAAAGTGTCGCGTGAGCAACTCGGCGATCTCTATATACCCGAGACAGGTTTTTGAATCGCAGCTTCAAAAAATGTGTCACGCGCGGTTCAAGTTCTATTGGATCAAATGGTTACGTTTATGCACCGCGACTGTCGCGGTGCAAAAGTAGTATTTTTCATACTCCACGTAATATTTTCTCCATATATTTACATTTCGCATAGATATATTGATTAATGTTAATAAATAATATTAAAAAGTTCTTTACCTTTTATTTTTATTATAAATTACGTCATGTTTCTTATGACTGGGACGGGTGGCGTCGTCCAGTAATCCAGCTACTAGGAAGTCACGAATTGTGGTTATTTATAAGCATGCTCTGTGGATGCGATACTCCCTGGTGTGGATTAACGTCCGCACGGCTGAGTACTACGACTATCCGCAGTACTATCCTGATAATTAGACCAATTCGTATATAACTAAGGCAAAAATGTGGTTCGGATTCAACTACGGTCATTTTTATTATAATTCAATTCAATTCCAAGATACTTTATTCAAAAATATACAAGAGTATAACCAACACCTAAGCACGAAAACATCGTCTCCCATGATAACGGCAAAATCCTGAATATCTCACTCATTCACGGAAACATTATCATCGGATGCATGGTATTGAAATCTCCCTTAAGGTTATCATTGTCATCCGCGATTGCCGCAAGATCCAGAATATCTCCCGTGGTTTGTATACTGTCGTCTCCCAGAGTCAAGGAAACATCATCATAGTCCTCTTGTGGTTGCAAATGCGTGCATTTTTCGATCATGCTATCTTTGCAGGTGCGTTTTTTACGATCTTGATAGTAAAAGCTAGGCTCGAGGAGCTTGATTTTTCGACTTTTTTGCTGGAACTCTCGAGTTTGCAGGCAAGGCTAAGCTCAGCTCGAAAATCAAGCCGCTGGTGCACCTCTACTGTAGTTCTAAATGGCCAAAATAAAAATCCCGGTATGGCTCTGAAAATTCCGACATTTCCCTTTTTCTTAAAGGTTCCTTCAAATTCAAGGTTTTCCGGTTAGTTTACACCCTGAAAATAGATGTAATTTGTTTAACATTCATTTTTTAATTTCTTCAGGAGAGGGTTTCTTGATAGATTTAAGATCCTGCTAGTGAAATACCAATAGGTAGTGTAAAAACCAATAGGAACTACAAAATTGCAAAAGACTGTTGTGCGTGTACATAAGGGAATTGGAAACATTAACAAAACTTCTACTATAGTAGCTGGATTGTAGCTGCTTTCTTATTTGTTCTGCTGTTCTCGTCGAAGTTCAGTTTACACTATGATTATAAATTGCAAGATTGATAATACCTGAGTGAAAATCTACTAAACTCTCACCACAACTATCCCTTCACAACGTCAGTCCCTACCCACTTAGGTGCAAAGGCAGTTATTTACTTGCTAAACCTCCCATTAAACCACTAATGCAACTTTAAGGAAAGAAGTTTGTGTTTTGAAAAATGAATTACGATCGCAAGCGGAAATGTAGCACACACAAAATTAATTAAGGACCATAGCATTTATTCCAAGTTATTTTTTTTAGACAAATAAGTAACTTTGGTCTTTGGTCTAAGAGAAACAAAGCAATGATTTGGCAAAAACAAAAGAAATACCTAGAATTGATATTGAACACACACACCAGAATCAAAACCCAAGCATGAATGAGGTGTAAAAAAGGTAAGTACGTAGGCAAGTTCATTCTAATATTACTTTTTACTTTCTCTCTCTCTAAGCTTTTGGATAGAATGGTATTGTTTCTATTAAAATTTCCGAGTTCCAAGTTTTGAGTGGAAATATCCTTTGTGGAGACTGACCCCAAAAAGAGTTTTTTCGAAACGATTTCTCTATGTTTGGATGTACAGAGCTTACAACTACCCTATGGCCTGATTTTAATTATGGTATAAAATGGGTAGGCTACTAAAATTCATAGTATTTCCAAGGTTCAACAATTTTTTAAAAATTATTTTGATTTATAATTGTTATTTCCCATTAAAAACCCGGACTTTAATAAAAATAAAAACTGCTCAAACAATTTTGATTAAAATTTAATATGTTATGGTCCTTTTAACTCTAAAGAATTAAAATAAAAAAATAAATTAGAATTGGCTAATCTCCTAGTATCTTTGGTCTATTGACCGATCGGGTAGATTTCATGGAGTTAAACAATACCACGTGTATTTCTTCTACCTAGCCTAACGTTCTAAGCTCCGGACAAGGAATCAGATTAGAGCCCCTCCGGTACAAGACACATACGGCCCTGCTGCCAACATGGGTTAGATGATGGATGCTCGGTTAGTCGCCCAGTGACACACAGACACAGAGGCTTACGTGACATTTACATTGTATTCCAATAGTGTACACTGTACCGTAAATACTCCTCATGATGAGCGACCAGTGACGGATGCGGGAACCTCTCTCTCTCCAACAACATCTGTCGCTGCAAGTGCTCGTGAGCCGCAGCCTACAACACAAGCTATAGGTCAGACTAGTACTACATAGACGGTTACTTTACATTTATTGAACATGATTCGGGATTAGGACTCCTCCATTTTCTAGGATTCAGAGTCAACATTAAAAGTTTCAGTATTCTATCATCTCTACATAACTATTGCAAGAGCAGGCTATTTTCAAAGGAGATTATTTACAAAAACTTGATGGTCATTGAGTCAAAAGAAAAACTAAATGTCTGCAGTTTTGTAGATTTTATTTAAGGAAACTTCAGAACAGGATTCAGCATCCCAAAATACAAACCCTAAACTACTCATTTTAAGTACCAGTAGACTGTATTATAGAATTGTGCAGTGCAAATAAATTTGTAGAGAATGTTAAACTCATAAACTTGATTTCAGTTCAGTACAGTGAAACCTAAATAACAAGACCCAACTTGTTAACAAGTGGTCCATGATTTTCAAATAGAAGTATAAATTTAATGTTGCCTCTAATTAAATGTTATTGTAAACATTGACAAGTTGTCAACCTTGATAACAAGTCTTATTTGAAGATTCCCATGGGAGACTTGTTATAGAGGTTCCACTGTGCATTTATATTCATTAGTCTGGAGATCCTCAACATGTCACACTTACTTATCAAAAGTTTTTAAGGAACTTACTCAATTGATATTGTACAAATTTCACCCCGTTAAAAAAGGGAGACTGCATCGTTTACCATTGCAATAAAATATACCATAGGAATCATTCTTCATATACAAATCTTTAATAAGCTAAAGGACAATCTCCAGCTGAAATTCTTCTTCAGTTTATAAATTTCCACTATTTACTGTAACAAAAATAATTGAAGGCTGTATAATTGTAGCAATTAGATAGTACCTGATGTGCAAGCTGGTCTGCGTAGGGGCGAGCCAGTAGCTCAGAGGGATGGTGGAGGGCTAGGGCAGCCTCGCGGGGTGGCAAGAGGCTGGGCCGCGGATAACCTCCACTGCCCGTCGCTGCAAAAACATTGATAAGTATAATGAACAATTTACCCATGTAAGTGTCTCTTGATTAGGAGGGAATGTTTCTACCTATATAAGATACAAACAGTTTAGATGCGGTAGGCCTACATTTATTTAAATTAAAATGATTGCGTCGTTGAACTCGCAAAAACATTGGCCGACGTGGAATTATTACAACAACCCTTCTTCAGGCAAATCAACTTGAATAATTGTCTGAGAAGTCTCCAGTATGATAGCTAGTACATAGTCATCCCTTTACCACCTAGATACGAGAATCGTCCACTACTATATTATTTTACCATATTTGGAATGTGATAAAATCACCGAACACCAAATAACAATAGAAGGTGTAAAGGGGTGTCTGGTGTCGCCAATTTTCACGAGCTTTTGCAAAGCTAAGATGGTGGTCGCAGCGCTGCTATTGGCAAGCGTTGGCCTTTAGCTCCGCCTCCCTGCTCTCTGTCGCCAGAATATACATTAAATATAACTGAGCGGCAGTTAAGTGAATGAGTGAAACAATTAGTGATGACCAAAATTGTTTTAAATTATTTTTTCTTAATCACACATATTCAAAGCTATGTAAATCAGGAATACCTGTAACCATTTTTGATCGTCAATAACAAAAAAAATCAACTAAGAGCTAGCAATCACACTGACCTGGTAGAGGAAAGGCAGTGCCGGGGTCAGGCGGGGCCGGAGCTGAAGGATTGCCCCCCGCCTGTTGTCCAGGATGGAGGTGTAGGTGTGTGTGAGAGTGAGCGTGTGTGTGCGCATGGGTGTGTGCATGGTACTCCGGAGATATCCCAGCCATCTGCAGCCTGACCATGGGGTCGGTGGTGAGTGTGAGCCTCTCAGCGTCTAGAGCCGAGGAGGGTTGCTGCTGCTGCTGCTGAGGAGGTCCGCCGGGGGGAGGTGCATTGCCACTCGGCCCTGGCGCTGGGATACCTGCGTATGTGTAAGGGTTGTACACTTGGTGTTTCTGGTGTTCTCTTTCTGAATGGTAAGATAAAACAGATACCTGGCTGCAATGAGTGTTACAATACAAGGATGTCATTACGTCAGATGAGGTGCGCAATGACTGGTGTCATAAAAGATAAATCTTCTGAGTATTGTATGTTTTGATCAAAATGAAATAAAAATTGTCAAAAGAAAAAAAAATAATTCTAAGAGCATAGGGCAGAGTTGAATGTAATTAACAACCCATTACAACTAAGTAAATTGGATACTACATTAGAGTAGTAATTCCACACATTATATCCTCAAATGATCCAATAAAATTATCTTTACTAATTCTATTCAAGCATATTGATGTAATAAGCTACAGTGTAAATCGTAAATACTGTCATGATAAACATTTATTTTCACATTAACGCACTTACTTGTCTCAAAACATTTTTATTTTTACTTGTATTTTTGTGCGTCTTAAACTTTCTGTTATCCATTTTTAATGGGCGAAACAGGTTGTATTAGGGATGGACATTGCTGGATTTTAAGTTTGAAACGAGATTCATTTTTCTCATCATAATTCGAGACGAGGTTATAGATTTCAATACTATCGATAATAAGTAGTTGAAGCACAAAATGAGTGTTTTTATATCAAACTGTTTGGGAAATCGGCAAAAATATGCGGTCAACTATTATGAAGATATACAAGTAAATTTTAGTTCAAATTGTAGGCCTACAGTGAACATCTTGGTCTACCGTGAAGGTACAACTGACCTAATCTCTCCATCCTTTCCCTCTCCAGTTGAGACAGAGCAGCAGCCTGACTGGGGCCTCCAGGACCAGGATACAAGCTGAACTGGTGTAGACCTCCGGGACCCAGGCCAGGATACCTGCGGATATCAAAGACACCGAGTTTTAGTTCTATGACAAAATACCTACACTATCGTAAATAAAACATCATCAGTCCACAGAAATCAGGACATGGGACATAAGTCGTTACCAATCTTATTTCGAGCCAAAGGCGCCAGTCGGCAAATGACGGGATGGGATGTTTTGGCAGTTTTTGCGAGAAACAAAAATGGTTCTGTGATTGTGGAAAATGTCCCATGTTAAATGAATTTTGCAGGAGTTGATCAGTCTTTGAGGACTTGAATCCGTCCGAAAATCAAGGGACATAATTTCCCATACCGTCCCTAAGACAAAATTGATGATGTGCTGATCTCTAAATAAAATTTTAGTACTGTATAGTTTTGTTCAAGAAATGCTCTAGGCCAGTATTTTGAATTGTGGAATTAAAAGGATAGCAGCTAGCTACCTTAGAAGAAGTACATGTAGGCCATAGAATGTACAGAAGACTCATAAAAACACAATATTTCATACTCCAGTGGTTTTTAAGTGTCTTCTATATTGTGCTCTAATTCTGTACTTCTTCTAAGGTAAGTTAGCTGCTATCCTCTTTATTCCACAATTTAAAATTCTATTATATTATTTCTATGGCACATACCTGTCCCTGGCGGCCGGGCCGTACATAGAGTTTATAGAGTTCAGCTGGTAGTGTAGCATTGGATCAATACACTGAGGTGGCAGACCTAGAGCTGCGGATCTTTGTAGTGTGACTGGAGAGAACCCTCCATGTGGTCTGGCGTACTCACTGTAACCACACACAAACATATTAGTATATAATACAGACGTGAAAATGAAACATTAGTTAGTACAATCAAAAGGCACGTCAGACAGATAAAACTTAACCGAGCAGTAAAAATTAGTTAAATAGCATATGAGTTATAAATGGAGAGATAGCCTTAGCCTAAATGGAAAGACTAGGCACGAGCCCAGGATTGCTTTTCACATTAATTCAGACTAGACCTAGGGGTTGCGGCATTATCATTTAAGTAAAATCCATTGATTTGGCGGTATTTGAACCCGGGACCTCAGGCTCTAACCACTGCTACTCTAACCACTAGACCAGCTCGGTCCCCCAAGACTATGTTTATTGCAGTTACCGTACTGTACTTTTGGCCATGATGAGATTTGGACGTCATGTAAAAGTCAGATATTTTTATATTGGATGTCATGCTTGAGACAGCTTAAGAATTATATTTCGGACGTCTGACACTGACATATATCATTGAACGTCGTGCAATGCATCTATACTGTTTGGTTTTTGAGATAGGTTGATGTACTACTCAGTGTGGTTTCCAAACCATTAGATTGTTGCATTATCATTATGTTGGTAGTTGGCATGAGTTAAATGAGCGTTTCCAGGAAAAAAATATCAAACGCTAACCACAAAAAAAGAAGTAGAGTGTGATGTTTGATTGAGACAGGATTTTTTTAAAAAGTATTTAAGAAGAAATTTTAGAAATAAAATTTTTTTTGTTTGCACAACTTTTTCATGAACTTTGTTTAAAATGATTATATCTGATTATTTATTATTGGAATTATCGATACCAATGTGCTTCTTACATTTGCTGGGAAGGTTTATACAAGTTAACTAAATTCATATTCTAATTTAATAAATAACTTTGAATCCTGTGGCTATTGGCGATAAGCTACTAACTGACCTGAGCTGCCGCAGTGCAGGTGTGTCTGGGTAGCCGCCACGAGGGAATCTGTCATACGGGGAGCTGATAGACTCTATAGGTCCTCGAGAGGGTGGCTTGGATGCCTCAGGCTTTTCTGGTGTTGCTATCTTTCTCTGTAAATAGTTAAACATGTTGTTAAACTGGATTCCTAAATGACATAAGATGTGATGAGATACAAAATATTATCACAATCAACATCATAACGGTATGAGTATAGTGCCCAATGAAACAGTAACTTTTCACTTAAAAATTATTTCCAAGTGGATTCAAGACATTAAAAATCGGACATTTTTCAATAATTTTTTAGCCTTTTATTTACAACCAATTTCAAATTGTAAGATGAGTAGTTTTATGAAATGGGCCACACGTCAGGGTCAGACCTACAAGGTCATCCTAAAGGTTAGGCCAAGCTCTCAAAACACTTTTGCAAGGGTGAGGATGGTAAAACTCCACCCTGAAGTCTGCAGGATTTCCTGAGTGCTTCTACAGGGTTGGGTTGGTATTAAATTTGGAAAATAAAATTCCTTGACTTTTCCAGGATTTCCAGACTGATATTATACTTTTTCCAGGTATACCGTAAGTCCATATCAACTAATCGAAATCAAGAAATATTAGAAAAAAATTTAATTATTTAACTTATTTAATCACCCCAAATACAAAACTTGTTTCTAACTATATACATATCGATTCCTCCTCCGTACCGATAACTAACTACCGATATAAAATGTGCATCAGTGTTTATGTCGTTCTTTTAGCCATTAGTCATCACCCGACAAAAACATGTTTAGAGCAAAACGTGGCATATCTGTAAAAAAGTAGTCTTTCAGGAGAAATTCCAGAATATTTTTAATAATTCCCTAACTTTTCCAGACAAACAAAATTCCTGACTTTTCCAGGTTTTCCCTGACCGTACCAACCCTGTTCTAGAGCTCTGAGCCTGTGATTAAATTCAAAATTAATTAGGCCTAGTAGTGATGGTCAAAACCAGAAATTTCAAATCTCGAAACCAAAACCGAAACTTAAAAAATCGAATCCCGAATCTCGAATCTGAACACTTGAACGCGAAACTTTTTCAAGCAACCTGGTCAAGGTTGCTAAAAATTAAATACAAGTAATGATAACATTTTCATTATGATTATGCGATCAAAACTGAAAGAGATTGACTCCTGATCCAGACATAATAACATAAATGTGACAGATAAACTTCAAACCCAAAATAACATATTGTTTTTATAAACAACTAACATTTAAATAAATGAAACTCTTGACATTGAAATAAACATAAATATTACATTAATTAGAACATTTAGTGGTCAATATTTCTTTGTGTTTAATAAATATCGAATATCGATATGAAACTGAATTCTAAGCTGTTCCAGTATTTAAGATGCCTTTTGCAGTTTAGAATACAATTTACTTGTTTCATTAGTGTTAATGGAGATCTGTTTGCTCGATTGCTACTAGCTTGTGTGTAAACAATGTTAATAATAATGACACAAAAATGTTTCAATATTTTCAAAAATATAAGTGCCAAAACTTCCTATTGCGAAACTTTTGAATCTCGAAACTCCATGATCGAATCTCGAAACCGAAACTTTTCCAAAGTTTTGATGGTTTTGAGATTTGAGATTTGGTTTTGACACATCACTAAGGCCTAGTTAAAACCATGGACCATCTTTTAAATTGTCCCCTGGATTTTAACGGCTCCTTCTAAACACTTTAGGGGATAAATTTGAATGTGGTTGGTTCTAGTGGTAGCCCTAGCCTGATCTAAGAATAAAATTGTATTTCCCCTGGAATATGCGTCAAATTCTCAAAGTTATTTTTAAGAAGGCTAGCAAGACGTTTATAACAAAATCATTGAGAGTTAGTAATTTTTAACGTCTTCCAATGTTCGTTTTGAGATATATTGAACACACCCTACTAAAACATTGGCGTACAGATAATTTAAGGAGATGTTTTTTGGTAAATAAGGCTAGAAAACACATATCTCAGTCTGATTTGAAAAGACGTGCAAGATTGCTGGGCATATGGTGGGAGAAAAACAAATGTACTTGGAGCAGAAGATGAAGAGGGGTAGGCAACAAATCAGACCTACATGATAACATTAAAATCTTTGATATGATGAGGTTTTACCTCATTAGCAATCCTAATGTTGTCGATTCAAAGAAATCAATTTCAAACCCAAAGGTTCATCATCAGTCGGGATCTAAGTTGACCAAATGTTAAAAGTCGTATCCACCCGAAGGGTTTAGGTCAGTACCGGCAAAGTGAGGTTAACCAAAATTTTTTTAACCATGGTTTTCGTCCGTAATTTATATGCAAAATTCGAGTTTATAGTAAAGTATTCAGTGTTATTTTATCTTCTACAAAACCTTTTGGGTGGATACAACTTTTGCAATTTGGTCATCTAGATCCCGACTGATGATGAACCTTCAGGTTTGAAATCGATTTCGATCGATCGACAACATTAGGATTGCTAAGGTAAGACCTCATCATATCAATTCTATATTACAATCCAGAGGCTAAAATGATTGATTGTTTTAGTCATATTTTTAAGAAACTCTACTGACTTAAAACTCTGAACCCGTCACTAATGCTAGACTGTAAGTTTATTGCTTACCGCTTGAGCCTTCTCCCTCTCTTCTCGCTCCTTCTCCGCCTGTTTCCTGATCCTCTCCTCCCGTTTGCGAGCCAGCTTCGTGTCGGGCACAGGTTTAAAGGTCAGGTCAGTGCGGCAACACGAGTTGTAATCTCCTCTGTTCCAGTGTCTTAAGAATCTGTAATCAGAACAAAAACAAATTAAATTTCATAATAGAAAAGTTTGAGGAACAATTTATTCTCTGTGTGATAAAATTAACACAATGTCTTATTCCAGATATTTCAGATCTTGTAATGATGTTTGATTTTGGAACATAAAAATATTTAATCGTTTCAAAAAGTTTCTCAGAAGTAATGAACATTGAAATAGATTTTTAAGTCAGGGTTTTGCTGGTAAACAAGATATTTGTAATGACATCATTGACTCAAGCACAAAGAGGCTTTCAAATGAAACAGTTTAATACAAGTTAGGCATCCATGTATTGCTTCCACTTAGGTTTTGGCAAGCTAACATAGAATAGTGAGAACTATGAGTAAATTACATTGTCAAACCATGCTGGATGGGCAAAACATTGAAAATGTATATTGAATAATTTGAAAATTTAATAATTTCATTTAATAAATAAGTTTATTGAGAAATAACTCTATAAAATAATTGTATTTGTACCAGAAGAATTGTCCAAATTGAAGTGTAGGTTTCAAACACTTGAAGTCAGCTAGTTAAGAAACAATTATTGTTCATCATGTGAGCACTATAGCACTTAAAATACAGAATAGAAAAATCAATGACATTTTAAAATCATGGGGCCTACATTAGGTTTCCACTGATGTATTAAGTGAGGCAAGCCTAATGGGATGTAATTGTAGAGCTGTCCCAGCCAAAGTTCTGTTCTACCCCTTGGTCAAGGGGTAAACCCTGGCTAGTCTGAACTTAACTAGAGACAAGGTATAGTGATAGGCGTGCTATCAGTTGCCGGCTGTGCTTCTTAACAAGTTCATGTGATTACTGTTAAATACATTTTCCTTTGTAATAAAATCACAACATTTAAACATCAACACGGCCTAGACAATAAGTCACGAGTACTAACATAGCAGACTGGCTCCGGTGGCACTCAGAGTCCTCAATCTTAGGTTCAGGCGAAGGTCCTCGCGGCTGCTGAGTGGGGGAAGGAGCCTCCTCCTCCTCCACACCTCCCCCCTCATCACCAGACACTGTCAGTGGCTCCGGCTTCACCTCCGGCTCCGGACCTCGAGCACCTTCTGGTGACAGGAACGCAGGATGTCCCAGCATACCTCCACCTGCGGACAAACAGTGCTGGGGTTAAACAACCGGTACTCATGTATACAAGGCTGAATAAAAAATTAACTTATTTTAACCTAGGATATAATACGGAGAATAAAGTCTTATGTTTTAAGAATTTAAGTTGTATATATAATCCACTTCTAATAATTTAAGTCAGGCTTATCTAAATAGGAGGAAGTCCATTCTGGAACCAAAACACAAAATTTACTTACACCATCCACAGCAATTAAATACGCTATTCAAATCTTTGTTTATAGTGTCAAATTGTTCCTTGTGCCAGAATGGTCAATTTGGACCTATTTTGGTTTGGGTTATTAGAAGTAGATTTTAATTATTCTTAGGGGCAAATAAAGACAGCAATACGTTTTAATTGTAAATATTTTCGAAGCTTATTAAACATTAAATTATGGCTTTAGTTGTACAGGCTAAACAAAAACAAGGACACTATATTCTTTAATTTGGTTTATTTGAGTTACCAATGAGATTTAAATGGTTTAAAGTTTTTATAGTTCACAAACCCTCAAACAGAAATTCCGTCTTATAAGAGGCCACCCACCTCTCTCACATAATTTGAAAAGGTACAAAACACAACAACGGAAAAGTAAGAAAGATTTACTACACTCCACGAACACTTGGCTTACATTACTGTGCTCTTAGTCTTAAACACTGGAATTAGAAATGGCTAGACTCTGTTCAACACATTTAGGCAGTTTTATGGGAAGAAATCTACCCCCTTCGCTTGACTTTACCTATAAAAACATATCTCAACAGCTGAGGTTTGGCAAAACGTAGTTGGCTGTATAAATAAACTCAAGTTCCTGAGTAAAAACCTATTGACGAGCTAACAAACTGTTTAAACTTTGTGAACAGACTATAGTATGCACCTGGATGTGAAGCATGAGCGGCAGCCTGAGCGTGGGCTCGCAGAGCCTCCAGTGAGCTGGTGGGGGCCAACATAGGGTGATGAGGGTGTACCATCATGTGGGGGTGAGGCTTGGAGCCGACACCTCCGGCCACGGGTCTGGACCCTGGACCATACATAACATGATAAACCAAGGAGAAATCTCTCAAGGAGGAACATATATTCAGGTATATTCAATCCCAGTGTTAAAGTTTACATGGGATTTGCTTAATTGTTTTTACGGGGCTGGATAGCCAGTCCACTAATGAGGGGTCACGGCTAATAGCTTAAGCATAAGTCACGATAGGCGTTTGTCTATTTGGCAAGCAGAAAATATTTGTGCTTGTGTTTTCCTGTTCATTGCCGGTATTTTTGCACACATCAAAGTGAACAAATATTTGTTATTCCTGAAACAAACAGTTGCTTGGAAAACAACACATGTGTGTAGACGTCTACTCATTTATCAGCAAATAGCAACGAACTAGATCGCCGAACGTAAAATATTTTGTGCTTGGCGAATGGCGCATGTCTGGAGCCGCCTGTGGAGACTTGTTGTTTGACACCAACCAAATATTTTAAGACCAACTCTTGGCAACTAGACTGTACAACTGATAGTCCTAAATCCCTCTGATCTTGATCATGAGGTAATTCATAGAAGAGAGATAACCATATGGTAGCTCACCTAGCTGGAGAGGAGAAGAGCCCATCCCTGGACTGAGTCGCTCTCCTGTCACACTCTGATGGTGATGTGAGTGTTGGTGGTTGGTAGACAAGGAGGAGGACGTCGTCTGCGAAAGAGTGGCCGACAGGTGACAGCTCGACTGCAACATACACGACAGTCAATGTAGTACAACTCCTACATCCACCAGTAGATTGAAATACTATTACTATGGTAAGGAACTTCAACCAATTCATAAATTCATTTTTCGCCACACTACACGGATTTAATAAATTTTCCACACATTAAATTAGTCAAGAAAACCGCTGTTTGCCACCTGCTTTTAATCAAATGTGGTTTCATTACATACTACTGTACTGTAATATTACCAGACAACAGCTGATTATAATATTGGCAATAATTCAACGAATGAACAAACGAAAAATATAACCTCTCTTGGAAGTTATGAGAAGTGATTATTTATTGGGTAGTTTTAGTTTATTCAGTGGGAATATAAAACGGATTTGTACAGTTTAAGCAAATTTGCCAGGAAATAAGCTATTACCGTCTAGGTCTCATAGTTTTAGACCTAGAGTAAGACCGATTTACTTTTTTGTTTTGATGTCGCCAGAGGCCAAAAATACTGTGGTTCTGAAAAAACTTTAATATCACAGGTAAGATTATATTTTATTACAGTCTTTTCATTTTAAGAATCGGAAAGGAAGTCTCTAAATAGGAAAAAAATTGCTTAACAGACCCAATTTTAAAATTTGAGGCAGATAAATCAACCTGTATATTTACCAGGCCAAGGCAGTCGATCCAGTGTCGGTTAAGTACTAAGTAGAGTGTTGGTATACAGTATTAATCTATTATATTATTAAAGTGATACAATCAAATTATATGTAAACGGTTAAGGCCATTTACCAAATAAAAATATAGGCATATGTCACATCAAAATGAAGCTTAGAGTGTGTAGATTTGCCGAAAAGTATTGATATGGACGAATTTCCTAAGGGCTCTGCCCCACAGGCCGATTTCCAAAGGGCTACGCCTGGCATGCTTTCAAAGTTTACATGATTTAATTTAATTTAGATAATGAAACAGCTGGTCAGTACAATGAACTGGTGTTTGTTTATTTACTTGAAAAAGATGTTTGTGAAGCTTTATGTAGATTTAGGAGGGTTATGTTTGGTTTTAAAGAAAGGTTGTATACGTTTTGTAAAGTATTGCTCAAAGTTTCATTTTGTAATTTATATAGTTAGCTACATGTAAAGAGGCTTGACTAAAGTTGAAGAATTATGGTAAAACATGTCATTCGTGAAGCATCAATATGAAGCAATTGATGCTGTTACTACACTAAGGTATGTTGTCATATACTTTTGGATCTATTAACATAAAAAGTAGGAGTTTGAAAGTAAGTAGGTTTACACTTTTAAATCAGTTTATATTTTCAAACTAAATCATAGAGTTGCAGTATTTTAAAACACACATCAGAATTACTTTAATAGCTCTGTAGGTCACATTTTCTTCCCGTTGCAAAGCACGGGTATAGCAGCTTGTTTCTTTAGGTTGGCAGACGTTACAAAGAAACTATATGTATATATCTAACCTGTGTGGCGGCTGGGCTGGTGCCTCTCTTGGTAGAGTTGATCTTGTGCTGTACACTAGCAGAGCTGCTGGAGGTGGTGGAGTGACTGATGGTCAGAGGCTGTTTCTCTCCCCCATGGTGATGTACGGAGGAGTGGTGACTCGTAGAGTGGTGATGAGTCTGAGTGATCTCCTGTGTCGTGTGGTGATTGCTCTCCTCACGTGTCTCTACTTCCCTCAAGGACCTGGTAGTCACACTGGAGTGATGAGACGTCATCATGGTCGTCTCGAGACTGTCCCTCTTCTGGGGAGGAGGCACGGGCTGCGGGATGGGGTAGGGTCCATAGGAGAAGGGGTACGGTGGATATCCGTAGGGGTGATGCGGGTGATACGGACTGTGGTGTACTGCGGCCGCGTGAGCTGCTGCGGCGGCAAACAGTGGGTGGTGAATAAGAGCGTGATGGGGATGAGGCATGGCAGGAACAAAGGCGTGAGGATGAGCTAGATGGCCGGGGGAGACTCTACTCAGAGGGGAAGGTTGCTGTGAAGGATGCATCGGCTGAGGAAGTGAACTCGGAGGGTTCCCTGAAGTGGGTGACGGAGCGATGAGATTTGTCGCACTGTGTGATACCGGAGGAGGTGGAGGGGGGAAAGGAGGGGTGTGAGTGGAGGAAGACCGAGGAGCGGGAGAAGCTATGGGAGTGGTTTCTATCGGCTTGACAGAAGGACTTTTGCTAGGTGTATTAGTTCGAATCGGATGGAAACTTTCCGGCTCTTTCTTTATACTATCCACACTGGGACCAACACTTTGAAAGGGAGAAGAGGACTGTGAGGTGGTATTCAGATCTGCTTGGGAATTTGGTGGCATTGATGTTGGCATCAGTGGTTGAGAAATTGAGGATGAACTGGAGTAACCAGGAACTTTAACTTCCTTGAGAGACTGCAAGGGGTCAGAAGAGGGTTGTATTGAGTCTGGAGGAATAACTTCTTGTTTGATTTTTAAGTTTTGAGGTTCACTTTGTGGTCCAGAGCCCAAGTACGAAGGCGGCGAAGGGTTCATTTTCCCTTGATGAGGATGAAAATGGGGATGGTAGAAGGAGGAGAACGGGCTGGGGCCAGACAATCCGGATGGGACTGACGGTATGTTTAGAGTCGGTTTTTCTTCTGAAGCAACAGAGAATGCTGGGACGATAATGCCAGACTTATCATCATGATGAGTGTCCGGAGGAGGCTGTCTCGGAGAGTTGGGTGCGTAGGCAGTCAAAGGTAGGGGTGAGAGAGTGGGAGCTGTGAGGTCTGCTGCAGAGGGTCCTGATGTCTCATTTGACATGGAGTCTTCATTAGCCTCAGGTTTAATCGTCACAGTCTGTGATTGTGTCGTAATTGTCCGCTGTTCTGCAGGTGTCTGAAGCGGTGGAGGAGAGTCATTCATCTCCTCCTTGGGCACGAAATTCTCTACCGGCGCAATCATCGGAACTATCACACTCTCAGTTTTCACAGGTTCGAACAACCCTTCTCGTTTCACACTCAATTTTCCAGGCATCGGGATCTCATCAAAGGCTTTCGGCAGAGGCCCGGATCCCGGTGGATCGATGACTCTATCCGAGAGAACCGATAATGAAAAGAAATTGTCGTCTGTTTTAGGTTTAATGTCTGGAATTTTAATTTTCACGTCCTCTTCTGGCACTGGTGGTGAAGGGGGTTGGGGTTGGTTGAATGTCTGATTTTCTGTTGTCGGATTACACTCACTGTTTTGCTCTTCTTTGACACTAACCGGTGTTTCCAAAGGCTCTTTCTTAGGCACTCCCACGTTGAATACAACGTTGCAGTCTTCCACTTTGAAAACAGGTAGTTGAGAGTTTTCTGAGAGTGGGGAGGGTGGTGGAGGCGCGTCCTCCTCCTCCTTGACTGTGCCAGCTGGCATATTGTCGTCTGCCGCAGTCTCACACGGAGGGTTACTCTCGCCCAAGTCCAGGTTAGCTGGCTCTGTAGTCTCACTCTCGTCCACCACAGATCCGCTGTCCGAGGTCACACTCTCCGAGGGACTGTCTGGTCGCTCTCTCTTGCGCTTTGTCTCCTCCTCGCCCTCCGCCTCGGTGGGAGGCCGCTTCCGAGGCTTACTTGATGACTCCGTTTTTATTTTGTCAACACACAACTGAAACAGACAAAAGACCTACTGTAAAATAACTTGTTTTGAAGGAACCAATCTTTCAGTTACCAATTTAATTAGTTTTACAGATGTTAAGTAATTCAAGTTTAACCTCTCAACACTACGTCAAGAGAGATATATTTTACAATAGCGTGATATCAAATTCATTCTTCACATTTATTTTCTTGTTAGACTACTCTGCTAACTTGGAAAAATCATTCTTCCAAATTTTAATTGAAAAAAAAAAATTAAAAAAATATATATATTAGTATTGCTATTGACTTTTTCCATACAATGTTATTTGTTTTCAATTAAGTAGGCCTACTATTAATCATATTTTTATTATATTACTATCATTTGTGTTGTAAAGCATCTCTTTAACAGATTTCTAATAATAATTTTGAGCCTTAAATGCTACCAACATTACACTTACGACATATAGCACACACACACAAAGAAAACAGCCGATACAATCACATGCACATGCGAGATATACAAAATCAACAACAAATAATACACATCCAGATAAAGAGAATGATATTTCATACTACTATTTTGACAACCCTAATTTTTTATAGAAGCAATCAAATAATGATTCTGATAAAACAATTAAAAGTTTTGTATTTTGAAAACTAAACATGATAGAAATATTTTATTAATTTACGTAAACCAAATCAGTTTTTTGTGACACACTGAAATACCTGACCCTAACCACTATCTACAGAAAATGTTACACCAAACACAAAGAAACAACGAGTGTACAAACAAGACAACTTGCTCTACTAGTGTTTAGCATGGTACAGCTTGCACCACTAAAACTATCGACAACATAAGTTATGACACTAGTGTATGTACACAAGAGAGGAAGCACGGGTAAGGACACACACATACAACAATTACTGAACTGGCAAGAGTGTTGTTTCACTGAGTATTTGTTGGTACAGTTCAAGGTTTTTCATAAGTAGGTTTATTGTACTCAAGTTTATGGTGTAAACTATTGCCGTTTGGACTATAGGCCTACCTTTATTTTATATTTAAATTTAATTTAATTTCAACATCTTTTATTAGCAAAAAAATATATAATAAATTTTAGCCTTGTCTAATAGAAAACCTAAATTCAGCTTGACTACTTTCTTACAAAAATCTAGTAAACATTTAAAATTGTTATGCAGTTACCGGTACCAAATAAATGAATAGTTGACTCCTTTTGAAATTGTCCTAATATACATATTTTTTGTTGGAAAGAAAACAGAGCGAATGAAAATAGTTAAATAAGTTTTTAAAACAGTCTACAAAGAATTCACGTCCAAAAATAATCGGAATATTTACATACAAGAACCAAACAAATGTATTATAATTTTGTTTAACTGATTCCATTGTTATGTCCAATTAACTTACATTAAACATAGTATATTAATGTGACTACCAATAATCCAGAATAATTGATAAAACATTATTGTACTAGTTTCCCTTGTATTTTGTAACAACACAAAAATGAAAGGGTTTAGGAGTATCTATCAGGAGAATATAAAATAAGACCCAGGATTTATACATGCAACACCAAGGAATTGAAACTTACAAGGATGGACAAATTTGTAAAATATGTTAACATCTTAAGAAATCATTTTGCAACATTTTATTAATTCAAATATTTTGACCAAAACTTTTATTAAAAATTAAAGAATGCATGTTATGTTACAATCAGATCCTTAAGATAATTTATTTTCAATCTGCCATCATTAACATAAAAAAATTTCGGTAATCAAAAACAAAGAAATAAATCAATAACAAAATCAGCATGCTTTAAAAAGATAAAAAACACAATTCAAAAGTTTTGTTTATGAATAGCTTAAGACAATTTTAGATAGCAAAAAGTTTTAATGACTTCATCCAGTCCAAAAACCACCATTACAATCCCGTTTATATTTCATTATAATTTAAAGTACTAATGAACTTTTTGCCTATATAGACTTAGGCGAGTTAAAAATACTGTTTGAATTAGAGACATAAGATACCAAGTACATCGAGGTCTGCTGAAAACCAATGATTTCCTTGGTTGGCGTATTAAGTTACATGTTACATATTTTAGGAACAAAACATTCTCTTCTGATTTCTTTAAATTTACAAAACAAATCAAAAACAACATTCTACAACTTGACAACACCACAACCAGATTTTATTGTACGGTACTTTTATCTTCAGAATTTGACAAAATCATAAGAAGAATGAAATAGCAATGTTGAAAATTATTTGAAATTCGAACTTGGTTGAAGCATCAAATATCTTAATTTTAACTAGCAAATTTTTGTAATAAGGTTTGAAAATTGGGAAAACCACACTTTTGATCATTTAATTCGTTGTGAACACAAGTATTCTGTAAATTTAGAGGTTCGCTTAGTTTTTTACAATTTACTTGAATATTTAGGCCTAGTGATATTTTTTCAGCGGGGATAAAGGAACATCCACAACACACAAATTCTACACAAATTGTAGGGTTTAAGAGATGGAACACCCTCTGGCGAACACAAAGGTGCGACATGCCATGCGCTTGTGCTGTACCCGTTTCTTAGCCCCGCCGGGTGAGTTGCTTCTCTGTCCCGAGCTACTGCCGCCGGACTTCTTGTCCACCTCCGGGTCCGGAGTGTTACTGCCACTGCTGCGTTTGGGTCTGCCACAAGCGCCCGTGCCCTTGGTCGGCTAAACATACACATCCGCACATACTCCACCGCACATACACATGTTCTGACTATGCAGGGTAACAAAATAGCTGGGTTGTTTAATGAGGAGAAATATTTATGGTTGAAATACATTAACACTCTTCCTCAAAAGTTGATTAAAGTAGGCTAAATTTGACCATGCATTGTACATTTGTCAAGAAAAAATAGGATTAGGACAAAAATCTATTTGTCAATTTTTTTCAATTTCTCATTTGCTATTAATTTATTGCACAAATTTCCCTCTTTGTATACAGATAAGACTAGGAATCTATTTTTAATAGGGACAAATTTGTGATAGTTAATTTAAATACAATTTGTTGTTACTGTTTCTTGCATATATTGGGGGAAATACTCTTCCTTTAGAAATGCAAGTTCGGAATAAAACAATAAAAAATAAAATCATCAAATCACCAACCTTTTCGCTATTACAAGATAAGTTTCTCTCATTTTAGATTGGGTAGCTGATTTAAAATTTTTGAACCTAATTTTGAATTCCATAACCTAGCTTTAGATAAGATTAAGAGCATAAATTTGAGACATCTTAACCAAAACCTTACACAATTAAATACACACAAATTGGCACTTCTACTAATATCCTCAGTTCCAGTGTAGACCTATACAGTATCTCTAAGAACTAACTAACATTTATAGGTACTCACAGTTTCCTTAGCCTTGTTGCGGGTCCTCATTCGGCCAGGAGAGCCGTCGGGAGAGTCTGTCTGCACGGGCCGGAACAGGTAAGGCGCATCCGACCGTTCTTTGGGCAGTGATCCGTTCTTTGTATAGTGTTGGCGACACTGCTCACACACCAGGGTAGGGTTTTTGGGGCCACAGACGGCCAGCTCCCTTGAACCTACGTTAAACACATTGCAAGTCAGTAAACAAGATATTGAATTTTAATATATTTTTCCCCTATTAATAGTTTAATAACTGACTACCTACGCAAACAATGACATATTTTATGAAATTGAGATTTTAAAAGAACCATGCAAATACAATTTTTTACTGCAAGAGATGTTTTGTTTTAAAAAATACATGGATTGGCAGCACTTACAAGTGATTGAATGCGTGGGAAAGTGGCTTCAGTGCGGACAGAACATTTTTGTATTTTCTGAAAATATTCCGATCTGCGAGATAATTATTTAATTTACTATTTAAACCGTTCAGATTACATTGCTAATATAATTGCATTATGTCAATAAAATATTGCCAGGGTAAAACTTCAGTAATACTATTATTTATCCTATGTAAGAAAGGGGATTAACCCCGTACCCACGGTGCTCATCTATGCAGACACTCTGTTCACATTACACTTAGTCGACCAGTTGGTGTGAACAGAGTTGAACAGTAGCATGAGCATCGATTTACAAATTCCTTTCCCAGCTGATGTGAGCTAGGCGATGACCGGTAGGGCTGACTTCCAAGAAACATCGTTAACCTATAAGCCACACACCCTATCGGTAATCAGCCAATGAGAAGGGCTAATGAAGAAGATGGAGGGGTCAAGACTCTTGGAGCTGGAGGATCTGAAGGAAAACATCGGGGAGATCACCACGGGCCACCGGAGAAAGAAGATGGGGAGTTTGGGAGTGCGTGTATCGGTGCGTGTGCTTCTGGGACAATTAACAGTATGTAAAAAGAATAAAATATATAACTAAAGTTTTGTCAAACATACAAGTCATGTAATTTGTCAGTAACTAATTCTTTTAAATTTTCAATTGATTTTCTTTTCTTGTAAATTTAACGTCGTAAATTAATTTATTTTATTATTGTTGTTTTTTGCCTTTTCATAGTTTTCTTTTGCTGTTGTAACAGTTTGTAACTTTTGTTGTTTTTCTAAATTTTAATTTTTGTTCATTACACGTTGAGTAACATCCTTAAGCAGTCTTATGTCTCATTAACCTAACACCTCTTGACTAAGCTAAGCGAGTGAATCATTTTAGGAAACTTAAACTTAAAGTGAGGCATGGGACTCGCACCTATTACGTTTAATAACGCTCCCCTCTAGTAGGTAGAAGTTTTATCTTTACTGGATAGTATCAATTTACGGTTTAAAATTAACTACATTAAACTAAACAGCTTTAAAGTTAAATACTGACTGGTGGCGAAGCAGTGCTGGCAGCGGTTAATGCTTTGATCTCTGGAGTCTGAATCGTCTTCTGAATTCTCCTCTTCACTACCCGAGCTGCCTTCTCCTACAAAGCAACAAAAAGATTACCTCACGCGTACAGACACAATTTGATCTCGTGATCAAAGTAACCAGAGTAATGATTGTGTCCAAACAAAAAGACTAAATTAAAATTAAATATATTTTCTGCCATACTCTAATCACAGAACAATAGACTAAGGCTAAGATTCATTTTCAATATTGAAATAGTCTAAAACTAAAATTATAAAACAGTAACAACAGTTACACAGATTATTGATATGGAAAATCAAGAGAACCTGTATATCCCTAAATTTAGCCTACACAAAAAAATTTTTTTTTTTAAGTAGCAACCAATTAAACCTAATTTTTATGGAATAATTTTCCAGTAAATTTGTTGATTAGTTCAGAGTTATATATTATTTTTAATAGAGATAAACAGCATGATTATTTCATGCTAATCTTTACATATTTTATTGAGACTTGACCTATATATTGAGGATTAGGCCTACATTTTGGTCACTGTCCATTGACCACTGATCCAAAATCAGAGTCTACAGGCTAATAGGTAAACAATAAAATATAAAATAATACAAAATAAGACTGTTATGGAGGAGAAAGGAAGGATACAACTAACTCACCTGAATTAAGAGTCCCAGGAGGTCAATAGAACACATAAAAAGTACACATTAAACTGTACAGTTCAGACAATTTAAACGGTGCCAGAACTGTAACTGCCATTCTACCTTTTACCTCTAAAGAAGCCCCTGAAAGTGGCGAAATATCAGTTTAATGTGTACTTTTTATGTGTTCTATTGACCTCCTGGGACTCTTTATTCAAGTGAGTTAGTTGTGTATCCTTCCTTTCTCCTCCATAACAATTTTAAAGCCAAGATGCTTTTTTCCTTTAAAAAACTGATATATTTAAAAAACTGATATAACATAAGACTGATATTTCGTCCTGATGTATTTCCAGTATTTCCTCAAACTGACACTTCTCTTCAACCTACTCCCTGAGCCAAGTCCTACATCAGAACGAAATATCTGTCTTAAATGTTTTGTGTTCTTTTTTTGTTTACCTATCAGCCCCTGGACTCTAACTTTCTCAGGTTTAAGCTAGATGAACTCTATTCCTTTTCAAAAAATCCTTACTATACAATTGTCTTTCCTGTATAATAACCCATTAAAAACTTTAAAATTAAAGTCATTAGTAAAAATTTGTAATAGATGCAATTTCTGTTTTAAAAATTCTGTAAAAGGTAATGTCGAACCAAGTCATAGGTAATATTTATATTTTTATTTTAAACTAAGTTAAAATTCATTAGCTCCAGAATAAATTAAGCTATCACAAAGAAGTAAACCGTATAGCTTAATCGATTAAAATATACATCGAATGTTGTCAAACAGCTATTTTTTACACATTGATAACTAATCAATATGCCAGCTCCAAATTAATTTAGTCAATTTTGATACATACCTACATTTAATTTCTATTAATGACATGGGACCAAAAATATATTTTGGGGTTTTTAAGCACCCTTTTGAATAAAAAAATGTGGATGTAGCACTAGGAGTATTTAAATAGCTGTTCTCGGTCACAGCTATTATTGAAAATGTGAAACACCTGTATTAACTTCAATCACTGTGTAATAATGTAGTGTCGTTGATATACCGATACCTGTAATAATTAAATACCATGGGTAAACAATCACTTAAACAGTGTAACTTATTAAATAATTCTAACAACGTATTACAATACTTTTAAACTTGCTTTTAACCTTGAAAAATTGAAAATATCTAACGTCGTACCTTGCTCCTTTGGATTAGGTGAGGGTCTGGATCCACCGGTAGCTACAAAAATAAATTGTATTATATAAGGTGTTGAAATTTTATATAGTGTAAAGCTAACAAATATTTGTTAAAGGCATAATCAGCATGTCAACCAACTCCCCTACATAAGAGTCTTGTACTAAGTGTCCTTTTGTCATAGTCTGTTCCATGAAGTCCCATGAATCGCAGAAACCATGACTAGATTACAAAATAAATTAAGAGAGTGTTTACATGCACTGTAGAATTAGTTGTAACAATATATATGATTGAACAAATATTGCTTTTCCGTTGTAGCTTCTACTTTCAGTAAAAAATTAGAAAAAAATAAAAAAATCGTTCTCTAGCCTTGAAAACTATTTGTAAATAATAAGTACTTAGACCCTTATTGGCTTTTATTTACATCCAAACTTATGAGGTAGGCCTAGTTCAATTTACGTTTTGCCCAAAAAATTTAAGATTTACATGGTAACAGGTGACATGGCTTACACATGGTTTAATATGTAAACTTTTTCAACAACTGTTTTTTATTCAATAATGCTTTAACTTGTGGGTTTGAACACCTATATTCACAAACAGATTTGAATGTATATCATACAAAGAGTATAATAATAAGGAACTGTAAGTTGTCTTTCATAGCTAGTAGGTAAAATTTAGAGTTATTTTCTACCCTACTCTACTCAACTCAATATTTAGAATCAATAATACTTGTTTCAGTCACATGGTTGAAGACTTCCGCGCTCTAAAGGTTTATTAAAGATAGGCCGACTTACCGTTTGTGTCCTGAGATGAGGGACTGTTATTATGAGGTGTACCGCCGCGGGTCTGACGTGTGTTCCGGTTGCGCCGGAGAGAACCTTGGCGTCTGCGCCGGTGCGGCCGGTTGTTGGTAGCACCGGGAGTCTTTTTCCACAGGTAGTAGAACTCCACTAACTCTGACTGTAAGCACAAAAATATTTTTACTTTTTCCATTTTGTGTGAGTCAATAAACAATATTCACTCTCAAAATCTTACATAATAGTGGCCTACATTGACCCAATAAAGTAGGAAAGTAGGACTCTTTTGCACAATTTGCACATTTTAATAAGCCTCAAACCCTGTTTCAGAGGCAAAACAAACAATGCAATTCTCTTTTACTTTTCAAATTTTACGCTTGTTTAAAACAGTTATTGGGTGAATAAAACTACTAGGCTAATTTACAACACATTTAGATCCACACCATAAATAGTGATTTACCTTCCTAAATCAGGTTATAATAACTATAAAAAAGTTGCCTATTAAAAATCTACCATAAACTGTTATGTCTTGTTGACAATCCGACTGTGTTTAACATTCAACAGAAGGATCAGTTGATCATATTTAAACCGTTATAAAGAAAGTTGGTCAGCATCACTGAATCTTCAAAAGCAAGCCGTAGATACAAATCAAACGCTGGAGTGACGCCCTAAATGAAATAACCATTTCGTTACCATTCGTTCCTCTGCTAGATCATAAGCTTTAAAATTACACCTTATTCTTAAAAATCAGTTAAGTAGGACAGCTGAAAAGGGATGTTACTTTGAAAACCCTTACTGTATTAAGTAGACAGATTGAGTTTTTTATAATTACAAAACTTTATAACATAAAAGGATTTGATGTACACAAGAAGGGGGCTTTACCTATAAAGACAAGCATGCAGGAACTGGTGATAAAGATGAGATAGATTTGTCAAAACAACACTGTGTGTTTTATATTACCAAAAATTGGCAAATTTTAAAGAAACTTACAGTGTCTTTGTGAGGCAGCAGGTCTTTTCGAATCCGAAAGAAGTTCTTGCCGAACTGCCGTAATCCTTTCACAAAGCGTTTCTGGAAAAGAAAATCATGATTGACTATGAAGAAAAAAAATGAAAGGCAATAAATTTCCTAGGTTAACACGTTCGCTGCTACAGACGTTCCGGAACGTCAGCCGGGCCACGGCGCCAGGAGCTAGGAACGTCAACGTTCATTGTTGTTTAACGTTTCCATGGATAAGCCAGCTCGTCACAAGTGTCCTATATTTCTTTCCAGCTCGTGGGGACGTAGGCCTACTTTTCTGACAATAAAAAATATAGTTTCTCAAAATCACCACTAGGGTCGTTTGGAACAGGGCTTTGTCCCATTTCTTTCTTGCTAGATAGCGACACTACTTTACCGACTGCAACCTGGGTAGTGCTGCTATCTATCAGAATCACTTAGTACTATGTCCAAAGCCAATTTTATTGGAGAACATTGCCATCCTGTATATCTACTGTTGTTTTTACTGTAATTCAGTGTATCGGTGGCAATGTCACGCAGCGGCCGAGCCTTAGTTCAGCTCCTGACGCTGTCCCGGCATCTAGCGGTCAGCAGCGAATATGTTAATGCCAATGTTGTTAACTTAAGAATTGAATTTTGTTACTCAAGTTTCATCTTGTAAACTTTTATTTCAGCTTACAAACCTTTCACTAGGCTAAATAAGGATTTTTTATTGTTTGAAAAATATATAACAATCTGCTCTCAAATCATTTTATTTGGATGAAATATCAATTAGATGTTATGTTACCTCAATTGTGTAGCTGGTTAAGGTAACTTACCTAAACTCTATCCTTTTGGTAGAAAAAATTCCAAAACCAAAGTAATTGTTTGAGGTTATACTAATCTTACTTTGGTCAATTTGAGGTTTAGGTCAAGCTAATTTTGTTTTTCTTTATTTCTAATATTTAGCATTAGCCAACCAAAATCATTTCTATTACTAAATAACTAATTACGAAAATCACGAATCTTTATTTCAGAGGTAATTACTGCATGTTTATTGCCTATTTATTATTATAAACTTACCGTTTCTTCTTCGCACCACTTTTTATCAATTCCTTTGGGAACAGGACACTTGACTAGTGCTTGTAAAGCTTTTCCTGGGTCGTAACCTGAATCGTGAAGCTGAAAACACAAATCCAGCAGTTAAAGTGCAATTAGGAATAAGTAGGCTTACATAAATCAAGTAACGGTATCCTAAGAAATAGTCATCTCACATCAACAATTTATAGATAAATAATTATTCCAAAAGATTATCACTAATAAAAAAAAATCATCATTAAGGTAGAAAATGGATGAAAAATAAATGATTGGAGGTTTAATATTTATTATTAGGATTATCTTTTGACTATTTCCTTACATCTTGCATTATTTCTTTTAGATATTTAAACGATGTTAAGGCGATGATTTTTTTACTACAATTACAATTTGTGCAAGGACACTTAAATTCCATCTAAGATTTCTAACTTGTTCTAGCCTAAAAATATTACCTATTTAAAAGAATCAATCTATTTAAAATTTTTAAAAACTAGAAACAATTTATTTTGTTTTAACAAAATTATTTTTTTTTTCAAAATTACAAATTAAATTTGTTTCTTAGCGCACAGTCTGCAAAGATGCATTTAGATCTGTACAACAATTTAAATGCATAAAAACCATTCAATAGATTTTTTCTGAAAAAAAAAAGATTATAAACTTTCGAACCGGGAAACAAGGAAAGTTAAAACAGATGGTTTGAAAATTATAATAACACACCATACAGAAAGAGTAGTTACGTCTAACCCACATATCAAGCGAGATGACACCAGAGTTGCTTTTTGCTTTTCTACTAAACTAATGAAACTTAAAACAAAACATCTGAAAACAAACTCACAACATCAAGAGCGTTGATGGTGGTATCGTCTCTGCTGGCGGCCACACAGCCGTCGTCCGCAGACCCGCCGTCACACATGCCCGCAAACGCAGCCATAGATCGAGCTGCGCGCAAGTACATGAGCAGGTCTCCGTCTAGTGCCATGGCCGGCAGCCATCTTAGCTCCTCTCGTTCTTTGCTCAACTCCGGATCACCTGCACTGCTTACTGTGGTGCGATATTCTGGGAGACGTGCCTATGCAACATTAACACTATAGCAGTCACAGACACAAATGAATCTACTGAGATAAAGTCTTTCTGTTTAAATGTCTCTTGATCGTGAGAAGGATATATTATATTTTGAACACAGACACCGATAGGCCTTTTTGTCATTGGGCTGATGGTGGACAATGATTTCTCACGTTTTGACAAGGTAATAGCAAGACCAGGGGTTGCATTGTTACCTTACAAGATAAAAAAATGCATATATAGAAAATGGTTTATGTTTTTTTTTGCGTCAATCGATCTGTGATGTAGTTAAATACCCCCGCCGTAGCAAACCTGCAGACTAAGCGAATTTCCATTAGCCTGATTGTATTTACACTAAAATGCCTACTTAAAAATATCACATTTATTCCCTATTTAAAAAGAATTAGTTTAACGAGTACTTAGGTTTGCTGCAACAGGGAGGGTAAATATGTGGTTTTTTTGTATCTTGTAAAATGTTAATGTATTTTCCAAATTCGATCAAAATATGTTTATAAACAAGCAAACTACAACAGTTGACTTATTCTCTATAAGAATAAAATGGACATTTTATATTAGGTAACAATTTTTTGTAATTTTCTCCGTAACCCTTAGGCGCACAATAACACTTCAAGATATTAAATTATTTGTTTTTTTAAGCCCTACAAAATGGTTTGGAAAGAAATTGTGAAATTTTGTGGTTTTAGGGTGAAAAAATGGGAAAAAGGTTTTTTTATCCCAAAAACCGGGTTCCCATAGTCCGATCATGCTGGTTTGCGAACTCGTTCAAATAAATGTAGGTTTACACGCTTATACCAAATTTCATCAAAATATGATCATTTTTGCTTGAGTTATCGTGCTAACAGACACATATATATATATAAATTTGAACGGATGGTGTTTTTGGCCTCTGGGGACCTCAAAACAAAAAACTAAATCAGTCCCGTGTCCAGGTCTTACCATGAGTACTACGGTAAATCAAATCTTTTTATTGTCTTTCAGCTCTACAAAAGCAATTGACATTGTCAAATGGCATCTTATCATTAAAGCATTAAACATAGTCATAGAATAAATAACAGGAAGCTTGATCTTAAAAAAATTATTTAAAAACTTATTTATATCTAAAACCTCCAAGGACAAGAACATATCTACAGAGTAAAAACATTTTAATTTTAACCATGAATCAAGGACTGTTTTGAATTTTTTTATTGGAATCGTTACTGCAGAAGGGGACAATTTATTAAAAAATTGTATACTAAGATATTTGTAGCTATTGTGTGTAAGTGTAAGTCTTGTAAGTGGTAAGTTGAGATGATGGCTATTTCTTGTGTAATGTTTATGTATGTCAGATCGGATGCTATACTGGTCTATATTCTCTTCTACGTATAATAAGCAATTTAAAATTTATAAAGATGGAAGGGTTAGGATATTTAGGGCCTTAAAATCTGCTTTGCAATCTTCCCTGGGCATTGTTCCTCTAATGCACCTGACTGCTTTCCTTTGCCATTTGAAAACGGTTTTGGCTCCTACAGAGTTACCCCATAAGAGAACACCATATTGTAGGTGAGAATGGAAAAATGCGTAGTAACAATTTAGAATAATTTGTTCACTTACATTGTTCTTTAATTTGTTAAATAAAAATACAGTTCTAGCCAATTTACTACATAAAAAGTTTGTATGCTCAATCCAATTCAGCTTCTGATCAATATGGATTCCTAGCAATTTTACTGATTTATTGTCATTAGAATTTATTCTAAGGTTAAAATGAATTTCTTCTGTTTTTGAGTTGTTAATCCTTAATTCATTTCCCCGAAACCACTCTTCAGCCAACTTTAACACCCCATCCCGTTCTTCAAGCGCTTTGTTCAGATTTTGACCACTTGTGAGGAATGTAGTATCATCAGCATAAAGAGTGGTTTTACAGGGAACAAAACAAGGCAAATCATTAATAAAAACAATAAAAAGTAGAGGCCCAAAGACTGATCCTTGAGGTATGCCAATTTTGATTTTTAACATATTAGATCTTGAATTATTTACCTGCACCAGCTGGAAACGGTTCACCAAATATGAGCTTAACAGATTTAATGATTTTTCAACTACTCCGTAAAAAGCCAATTTTTTAATAAGAATTTCATGAGAGACTGAGTCAAAAGCTTTAGCCAAATCAATTAATTTGATTTGCAGATTGCAAGATTAATTTTAAGTTGCAGACATATTAATTTTACTATCACAACTGTTAAAAATATCTGTGATTATGTTTTCCAAGGCCTTGATTGTGGACAAATTTGATCTAAAACCAAACTGACTATCACAGAACAAGTTATTTTTTTCAAAATTTGAATAAATTTGTTGGTGTAGACAGTGTTCTAATATTTTAGAAAGAATTGGGATTAGAGATATCGGTCTGTAATTATTTGGATCAGTTTTTTCCCCTTTTTTGAAGATTGGTATTGTAACTGATATTTTAAGACATATAGCTAATAGCTATTATTAGCTAATAGCTAATAGCATATAGTAATAGCTTATTCCCTATATGGGAAATTCGCTAAAACAACTACAGCTGTTTCATTCCGCTGGAGCACACCTTCAGGTTGTAGAAAGCTGAAATAAATATGTTTTCCTCTGTGGATGAGTTAGTTAAGATATATAGTGTCTATGAAACACGAAATACACAAATACAACATTAAAATTGACACCAATTTAACATGTTCTACAACCTGAAGATTGATTGATTGACGCAAAAGGCCTAACATAAACCATTTTACATTACAATTTTTGATCCAGAGACTTACACACCATGAAAAAAAATACAGTGAACCTCGATAACAAGATTCTCATGGGGATTATTAAGCTAGACTTGTAATCAAGGTTGACTTCTTAGTGAGGTTTGTAATAACATGTGATTAGGGGTAAAATAAATTCAAGGGGATTTAAAAATTTCACTTGTTATCAAGGGTGTCTTGTTATTGAGGGTCTTTTTATCAAGGTTCTACTGTATTATGTTTTTGTAGATACATAGGACCTACCGAATATGTTGTTTTAAAAATCTTCCAAGAAAACTAGACAACAAATTGATTGGGGCAACTTACTATTGCTAATGCTTACAAAATAATTAAACTACAAATGATACTTGGGCTCCAACAAAAAGTTTCTTTTAGACCCACTACTAGCAAATCTGAACATTGAGCACCATTTGAAGATGGCTACAACATATTTTCATCAACAAAAAGCACCATCTTACGGTCAACAGCAATAAGCTGAAACATTTAAATGCCAAAATAAACAAGTCTTGAGTTTGATTCCTCATGATTCCCTAAACCATTAATAAAAAAAACATTATTTCCTCAATTTGACTAACTTAACCATAACAATAACAAATTTAATAAGTAGTGTTACCTGATGAGACGGTCCAATTCTAATCTCTCCTTGAGTAGACACCATGACGAACACACATACAGGCCAAGCCCTGAATCACCAGCCCTGCAACAGAAGCACATTACAATGTTCTACATTATCTACTAGTCAATTAGTGGGAAATCATTTAAATGATCCCATCAAGTAAGCTGATATGCCACGATCACAAAAAAGGACAATTCAATTAGATTGCTTCCTTAACCATTTTATTTGGCTTTTCTCAGCTGATTTTCAAAATGGATTTATGAGTTCTGGTGAAGCAGCTACTTTTTGACAGTTTTGTACATGGCGGTTCTAATATCAGTTAGTGTAGTGTGCTATAACATTTAAGTTGCCTCTTTCTCTTACCTTTGGAGTGTATACCCAAACTCAGGAGTATTTTGCCACTCTGAGTCCTATTTTGGAGGTTCCTTAGATGTACCAAGTAAGAGGCCTCGAAGGCAATAAAGACGCTTCCAAATCGCAAAAAAAACCAAGATTTTTTTGGGGGAAAGCCCGAAATGTTAAGGATCTAAAAACAATAACAGTCTGTACATACAGTAGGTAGATAAAAGACAAACTATTTTACCATCTTTAAGTTATCTTAGAATAAAAGCAAGTGACTGTAATTTATTACAAAGGAGTGAGTTATTAGTCAGTGAAAGCTACTGACTATTGAAACTCTCCCGAAACTCCGTGGGCATGTTCTTTAGGTCAAAGCAAACAAAATATATCAATGAATAATCTCTACAATATATCATATAAACATATGCCCTATCTCGCTTCGTTTTCCGTCTGTCAGTGTGTATGTATTTTTTGCATAACTTCCCATAACTTTTAAACGACTAAGGTGCGAACTTCAAACTTGGTACGTATGATGACTAATAGGATCTATTCTTTTGCAAAGCATCAAGTTTCTACTTTCTACAATTTCAATATGGCGGCCATTTTAATTTTTCAAAGCTTTATAACTCAAAAACCATATGATTTATAAATAGGTTACAAATGACCAAAAGAATGGAAATCTGATTCCCTTTACAGAAATGTACAATTTTTACAGGGTCATTACACAAATAACGGAGAAAATTGTATTTTTATAAAGGTAATACCTGTTAATTTTTTTAATTTGCCCAAATGTTTTGTTTTAACTTTAGAAAATTTTATATTTCCCCCTTATTTGTGTTATGACCCTATACAAATTGTACATTTCTGTAAAGGGAATTAAATTTACACCCTTTTAGCGAATTTCCCATATAGGGAATAAGCTATTACCGTAGTACTCATAGTAAGACCTGGACGCGGGACCGTTTTTTTTTTTCGTTTTGAGGTCCCTAGATGCCAAAAACACCACCTGTTCAAATTCATATATACATATATATATATATATTTATATATTTATGAAAAATATAAAAATAGGGCTACTATATATATATATATATATATATATATATATATATATATATATATATATATATATATGTGTCCGTTAGCACAATAACTCGAGCAAAAATGATCCCATTTTGATGAAATTTGGTACAAACGTGTAAACCTACGTTTATTCGAACGAGTTCGCGATCCAGCATGATCGGACCATGGGAACGGGGGTGTTTTATGGGGTAAAAGTAGGTTTTTCCCATTTTTGACCCCAAAAACAAAAAATTTAGCAATTTCTTTCCAAACCATTTTGTAGGGCTTAAAAAAACAAATAATTTAGTATATTGAAGCATTATTATTCGCCTAATGGTTACGGAGAAAATTTAAAAAAATTGTAAATTTAAAATTTCCATGTTATTCTTATGGAGAATAAGTAAACTGTTGTAGTTTGCTTGTTTATGAACATATTTTGATCAAATTTGGAAAATGTTTTTATTTCTTACTAACTACTAACATTTTACAAAAAAAAAACAGTTTTACCCTCCCTGATGCAGCAAACCTACTCATTAAACTAATTCTATTTAAATCGGGAATAAATGTTATTTTTAAGTAGACATTTCAGTGTAAATCCAATCAGTCAAATGGAAATTCGCCTAGTCTGCAGGTTTGCTGCGGCGGGGGTATTTGTCATTTGAAACCTTTTTATAAACCCTATGGTTATTGAGTTTTTAAGCTTTGAAAAAATAAAATGGCCGCCATTTTGAATTTATAGAAAGTAGAAACTTGATGCTTTGCAAAAGAATGGTTCCTATTAGTCATCATACATGTACCAAGTTTGAAGCTGGTACCTCAAGTGGTTCCAAAGTTATGGGAAGTTATGTAAAAATACACACCGACAGACGGAAATTGAAGCAAGATAGGGCATATGTTTATGTGACATTTTTTGTTTGTTTTGATCAATGGAACACGACCACAGAGTTTTGGGAGAGAGTTTCGAAACACCCTGTATACTACACTGGAGTACCTATATTGAATGGTGATGATGATATAATCTGAGAGTAGAAACTGGCCAGAGGTTTTAATTTGCACTTTTAACACTAAAGGCTCCTTTCCTGTAGGTCGATATAAAATTGACAATTTGTATAATTTTGAAATGCCATTAATTATTTAAAGATTTTAGTATCAAACTAGAGCTCGCCCCGTGTTCAAAAACTTGACGAAAAGTATGTATTGTGCAAACTTCTCTATTTTCACCACACGCTATAAATAAATCATGTGATTGCAATTTCTTTCATTTGTTTTGATTTTCTCTTTAAATTTTGTTGTTATTTTGTCACCAACATAGCAACCCATAAGGCCCAATTAAATTTTTTGTGCTTATTTTTTGGGACTATTTTAATTCATAAAGGGACTCTGTACATCTACCGGCAAATATCTTTCTAACAGTGCGTAGATTTTCCCTTCGATGCACAGAAGCTGAGGAAAAAGGTTTTCAATTAACATGCTTGTCTATAAATAGCCTATACAGTATAGAACCAGCCCATATTTTAAATCTCCATAAAAGAAAAGTTTAATTTCCATTTTTGACCCAATTAACATAAATATTCTAAAAAATACAAATAATTTTCAAAATAAAAATAAAACCTGCACATATAGGATCTTCTTTTGGTTCAACCCGCGTGTAATTTGGTCCAGTAGTAGGCCTATGGTCAGGCTAGCTGTCAGTTTTGTCAAACTTTTTTTAATATATAAGATTCTGTGTTATAACAAATCAAATGTGTTTTTGAAGTTGCATCGCAACACATGACAGATCCGATACAGCCCTAGGCAGGTATTAATTGTCGAAAAAAATCCAAAGCTTTCAAAAGTTGTCCCCGTTTATAAGAAGGGCCCGAGGGACAGTCCTGGTAGTTACCGCCCTATATCTCTGGTTTCTGTTGTGGGAAAAGTGCTCGAGTCAGTTGTCAAAGTGCAATTAATGAATTATTTAGAATCGTTTGGGTTACTTTCAAATTGGCAATTTGGGTTTAGAGCCGGCAGATGCGCCACGGATGCCGTTAGGTGTCTAGTACAGTCTGTCTTAAACTCATTTGAAGGAGGAGCCCTTACTCAGGCGACCTTAGTTGACTTGAGGGGAGATGCCCACTTTTTAGATTTAATGCATTTTATATGGGTAAACATCGTGTTGCTTAGGTACCATTTAAGAAAGAACCCTTTTAGCTATGCATATCAAATTTTAACTACTTATTTGTATTGACATTTAAGACAAACTGTACTAATTTAAATATGTTCTACCAAAAAAATCATATTTTATTAAAATTTTTAAAATATATAATTTTTTTCACTATTTTACAAATATTAATTAATTTTATTGTTAATGTTTTTTTAAACATAGAAGCAAACTTTTAGTACACTTTGTGGGCCATGATGTCCTAAGTAACAGAAAAAAATTTGAAGTCAGTGGTACTTATAAAAGTCTGGAAAATGGTACCTAAACATTAAAAAACACAGTTTCGGAAAAACTCATTTAAAGTCAAGCCTAGGCCTACCCTATGCCACATTATTCCTCATCACAAACAGCACTATTATTATATACACATATGTTATGAAGAAAGAAAAACAAACAGAAAAAGATTTTTGTTGACTATTTAACCTAGCAACAACATTTATTCAGTGCAACCATTCAACAAAATTAAATTTCTAACATAAATTTAATTGACGCTAATTCAGCCCATTGTGACTAAAACCGAGTGTGTAGTACTATTTATATTATTTTTTATGATTGTTAGACTGTAGTAAATATATTAAAATTATATATTTTCTGAATCAGGAAAAGATGAAGAATTTTTCAATGCAATAAACAAAAAATTAATTTTTTGACCGAAAAACTGGGCATCTCCCCTTGAGTAAGGCATTTGATTGTGTTCCACACTCCTTACTCTTCAACAAGCTTGACTACTACGGTATTCGTGGCGCAGAGCTGGAATTTTTCAGGTCATATATGTCAGAGCGCAGACAGTTCGTTGAGATTGGAGGGATAAAGTCCTCTGTGAGGAATGTCACCTCAGGAGTTCCTCAGGGCTCGGTCCTGGGACCTGTGCTCTTCCTAATAATGATAAATGATCTGGACGATAACTTGAGCTGTAGATCCCTGATGTATGCTGATGATTCAACTTTCATAACTAGTCATTGTAGTATAAAGGAACTCACTCAATTATCTTCATTAGTTTTGAATGACGCAAAGCACTGGTTTAATGTAAATGGGTTTAACATGAACTCAGACAAAACACAGTCAATTGTTTTTAGGCTAGGTGCAATTCCCGACAATGAGAAACCAATGTCTGTAAGCGTCAACCTTTTAGGTATAGATCTAGATTGTGGTTTAACTTGGGAGAATCACATAAAAAGTGTCAGTCGTAAGTTGTCCAGAGTATTGTTTCTGATTAGGAGGCTAAGAGATTTTGTACCACCGCAGTATGTAAGATGTGCCTATTTTGCATTTTTTCAAAGCCATTTGCTGTATGGAATATTGCTGTGGGGAAATTCAACTCATATTAATAGTGTATTAAAGATTCAGAAGAAGGCAATTAGGCTTTTAACTAACTCTAGGCGGCACGCACATTGTAAACCTCTTTTTAGGTCAAAACAAATCCTTACAGTTGTAAATCTGTACATACTTGAATGTGTAATGTTTGTAACGAGCAACCCAAATC